CAAATTGCTCCAATGTTTAAAGTTTATTGGATGAGATGCATTTAAAAATTAACATGTGTTTCATTTTAAAATAGCAACATTTCTATTATGCTAGTATAACAATATTATTTGGACTTATGATGAAAAAAGTAGATATAAACATTAAGAGAGTGTTAGTTGAATGAATGAATGAATGAATGAATGAATGAATGAAGAGTGCTTTCCATATCAGTTAACATTAGGTTTGACTGGGAGTGACAGAAAACCCAAGATAGCAGAATCTTCAATAAAAGTCTTTATATTTCCAGCAACTGAAGTATCTCTTGTTGGTGTTCAATGTCTCGCTCACATAGAAATAAGAAGTTGGGCAGCCCAAAGCCCGTGAGGTAGCTCCATGATCTCAGGACCCAGTCTCCTTCTAGATCCTCAACACAATGCTTCTATATCATGGTCCAAAATGGCTGACCCAGCTCCAGCCATTGGGTCCCCATTCCAATCAGCAAGGAAAAGGAAAGGCAAGGAAAAGAACATCCTTTTGGGGACACTTCCCAGAAGCAGCACCACCACCTCTGCTTATATGTAATTAGTTATAACTTGGTCGTGTATAACACAAGGAAAGCTGGGAAACACAGTCTATTTTATGTATCTTGGGCCTTGCTAAAAATTGGTACATCTGAAGAACAGGAGAATAAATATTAAGGGACAATCATCAATTTACTCCACATCTACACTTGGATAACTCATGGGCATTTTGGACTAGATATCACAAATTTGAACTCATCTTTTCTCCAAATGTGATTCTCTAATATTCTCTGGCTCAGCCAATGGAGAACCTTAATCTGGTTCAAACTGGAAACCTAACGTCATTATTGATACTTTCCTGCTGTCAATCCTTCCTCCAAAATACATCTCAAATTCATCTCTATTCCTACTACCAATACCCACCATCAACCTCCTAACTTGGCTCCCAGTGTCCCTCTCACCTCTTTTCAGATCATTCTCTGCATTGCAGCCAGAATAACTGTCTAAGAAAATATAAATATCTGAGCATGTCACTCTTCTGCTAAAACCCCTGGAAGGCTGCCTATGGTGCTTAGGATAAAGACCAAAAACCTTTACATGGCTTTCAAAGGCCTAATGTGATCTGGCCCTTGCTTCATCTTGTACTGCTTACCTTTTGCTCTCCATGCAGCAGACAAACTTGGCATTCTGCTGGTTCCTCCTCCATACCAGGCTCCTTCCTGACTGCCCATGCCATTTGCTGTTTCTCCACCTCCCTCTTTAACTGTCCAATGCCCACTGACTCCCCCAAGTCTCTTCTTGAACACCACATCATCAGGGAAGACTTCCAGTGTTTGAGACTAGACTTTCACGGCACCCTGTGCTACCTTTGCTTTTCACCCTTTACTTTTTATAGCATTTATCACAATGAGAATTTACATGATGATTTTGTTTATTGACCCTTATTCCCCCTGGGTGATAAGCAAGCTCCTTGAGTCTGGTGACCAGGTACCACTGGTGCTCTGCTGCATCCCAGCATTTAATGAAGTATCTGCACTTTGCTACTCAGTGTGGCCACAGTTCACAGAGGGGTGTCACTGCAGACCTCAGCCCCTATGCCTGTTTAAACAAGATCCGCAGGCAATTTCTACATACAATCAAGGTTCGGAGGAGCCGGTCTAACATATACTAATCATAGTTGTAGTAATAGTTAATAATACTTACTAGTTATTGATAATGCTCCAGGCATTGTTCTAAGCACATTGCCTGTATTAACTTATGTACCTCTCACAGAAACCCTATGGGATAGAGCATCATTTAACAATTCTGTTTTACAGATGAGGAAACTAAGGCCCACAGGGATTAAGTAACTTGCTTAAGGTCACACATCTAACAGTAGCAGTAGCAGATGCATATTGTACGGCCACTGTGTATAACAGACCAGTTACATTGAGACAACAGGATGTGCAGCACAGAAAGAATCAGATCACAGGGCACCAAGTGAGGGGGCGGAGAGCTGGAGTGAGGAGAAGCCCCTCAGATCTATCTCCCGGTGGAGTGATGGGCTGGGGTTTTTAAGGAGATCATGGAGGTCAAGGGGCTAGAAAACTGGGGTTGTCCATTGGTGGGATACGGGGGATGAAAGTATCAGAATTTGGAAACTGCATTCTTTGGTGAGTCAGCTTCTGATCAGCTACAGTAGGAGACCTGGACGGGGGCCAGCAGAACAGGGTCACAGTGGGGCCCTCAGACCAGCTGGTGTCAATGGGTCCTTCAGAACAGCTGACATTAGTAATTTCACTGGTTTGTGGGACCTGAAAGAATATTCCAAGTGGAAAACGTAATGTTTTATGTTCAAGTTGTTATCTATAGAGCAGTTAAGGGGAACTACAATCTTGTAACAGGTCTATGTGATGCTGAGATAACAGACACCAAACAATTGTGAAGAAGCAGGCCAGAGAACAGGCTGACCTCGTGGTTCATGCTGAATGTGCTGCAAGCTGGGCTTATTTTATTTCTCCCCTTCCCTGCTTCACTGATTAATTTTATAAAGTTTGTAAGGATGGTTTCCGTAGTGTTAGCAATAAAAGAGGAGGAATATGATCCCCAGTACCTAGCACAATAGAAGGTGCATGGTAGGTGCTTAAAGACATTTTAATGAATGCTAATAGGTGGAGATGTGAGATTTGAACCCAGCAAAATGGCTCCAGAGCCCCAGCTCTTAACCACTTAGCGTGTGATGAATATATGTCAAGTGCACCCCAGGGGCCTTCCACTGCATCTAGCACACTATAGACCACTCACATTTGCTGAACGAATATGTGAGTGAATGGTTATGTGGTACAGTCAGTTGTGGGCAGATACCTCTGGAACATAGGAAAGGAGTTTAGTGAAAAGAGTAGTAGGATAGGAAGTAAGTGATTTGGAACAATTGGCCTCAAAGTGATAAGAAACATCCTGAGTTTGGGGACCATAGGCATATAGCCTTCATGTGTTCAAGGCCTCACAGGCCTAAGAGGAAAATGGGACGATATTAATGGTGATAACCAAAACATCACTGGTTCTTGTCTCCATCAATTTCCATAGGCTGGAAGGTCACTGTAAAATACCCCATATCTTTCTGAGGATCCCTATGGTGTGCCTGGCCTGTGCTCGTCAACGTCCTTGCTCCTGCCAGGCACCTACATTCTCTGCTACTTCTCCTGAGGCACCTCAGTCCCTTGGGACAGCCACTGTGATCATGTCTTGCTGGGACCCCCAGGTCTCCTGTTGCAGTTGATGAGCGAAAAGCCTCACTCTGCTGATGCTGTACCTGTTCAGCTGCCAAGAGGAGCAGAACATCCCTGGCCCCTTTGTGTTATGCTGCATTGGGGGGTACCCAAGCAGGATGGCATGTGGACCAATACATCATAGAGACTTCAGTCAAACAGCTCTTCTGTTCTCTATAGGACACAAGCATGCATCCTATGGGGCCTAGGCCACAAGAGAGTCAACATGCTGTACTTGGAATCAACATTAGAGCTAGCTGGCCATGCCTGGATCCCTCTCCCCTCTGACGAATTCCATGTCTAGGGGCCCCTTGTTCCCTACCAAACAGGTTTCCATAAAGCACTCATTTGCCAAGAAGTTCCAGGTGTTTCTGACCATGAATTTAAGCTCAAGTTTCCCCAAAACCTGCTTTTTTTCCATTGGTAACCCTGCACATAATACTCTGAGATTTTGTTTAGAAAAACAGACTGAAATTTCTTTAGGGCTGTGTGCACGTATTTGGGGCGTGAATGAATGTGCCCATTAGCTCATTCTGCTCTAAACCCTACTACGATTCTCTGGATGTTGTCTGCCACCCATTCCTACTGACTAGGTACCAGGCACTGAAACCGCCATTGCAAAATTATAACTGAGATAGTGAAAGGGATCTGACCTAACTGACTCCATCTTGCTTCTCATCTCCAAGCTGTCTTTGTTCATTCCCAGGCATAGGCCAAACTAACTTTGGGAGAAACTTAGTTTACAGTTTAGCTTTGAAACAAAGACAATACCAGCTCTTTCCCAAGCAAACCCGCTTCTTGCCTGGGGATTAGACTGCCTTTTCGGAACTAACAAATGAGCCACAAAATTATAAATTATGGTTTAGGGGTTAAGCAGCTAGAGGCTGCTAGATTCTAAACCTCCTCAAATTGCTCCTGGGGATAACATAAACTATTGTAAAACCTAAGATCATTGCTTAAGATATTTGACAGACACCGCACTCGATGGATCAGCTGGCACCACCCAGATGGATAAAATGGCTCATCTGGTCTTATGGCCCCCACCTAGGAACTGATTCAGCACAAGAGGACAGCTTTGACTCCCTGTGATTTCATCTCCTATCCTACCAGTCAGCACTCCTGACTCACTGACCCCTACCCACCAAATTATCCTTTAAAACTCTGATCCCTGAAAGCTAGAGAGACTGATTTGAGTAATAAGACTCCAGTATCCCTCACGGCCAGCTGTGTGTGAATTACTCTTTCTTTATTGCAATTCCCCTGTCTTGATAAATCAACTCTGTTTAGGCAGTGAGCAAGGTGAATCTGTTGGGCCATTACAGAACTTTAACCATGATCCGTATGAGAAAGTGCCATTTCTCCATTTCATAGATGAGAAAACTGAGGATAAAAAAGGTTACTCAAATAATTCTCCTAAGGATAAACGTGTAAATCTTCTAACTCACACATTTATCAATAAACAAAACCGGATTCACAACAACACTGGAGACTTTACATTTTGGGCAAGGATATTAAGCTAATGGGAGTGAGACACCCCCTCTTCAGGAGAAAAAAGGCGAGCAGCAGGCGCTGCTTTAGAGACCAGCACTTTGCTTCCTCCGTCTCCCCGCGCCAGGCATCGGACATCCCAACCTCGACTTTGGCGTTGAACTTGGCGCGCTCCGGAGCTAGAGCTCTAGGGTGGTGATCGCGGGTCCACGCCCGCCCCCGGTTCCGCCCCCGGTCCCGCCCCCCGGCCTTTGACCCCGCCCCTGGTCCCGCCCCGGGGTCCCTGGCTCCTGGCCCCGCCCCGGCCTAGGCCAGTAGCTGCGCCATTACCTGTCCTAAGCTGAGCGAGTCAGGTTGGTGTTGCGGGGTATCCCGGAATACTCCGTGAGAGCTGGTCCTGGACTGGCCTTCAGAGCCGAGCAGAGGACGCTGCTTTGGGCCCCAGAGCATGGGAAGGTCTCGGCTGCGGTCTGGGACCTGCTTGGAGGGCCCCGGGCCTGCGGACGCTGGGGAGCGGTTGCCGGGCAACAGTGCGGGCGGCCTGGCCTCTTTGCGCCCGGCGGGCAGCGCGCGTCTGGGGCGGGCTCGGCGCGGGGCTCGGGCACAGGCCCCCCGCTGCCGCAGCCCTACCCAGTGAAACACCGAGGGCGGCGTCGCTTCGCCGTCACCTAGCTCTGACCCTCTCACTCTAGCGTGGGGGTGACACTGGCCAGGCAGTGAGGACCCTGAGATCCATGCCCTGGGAGACAGGGGTTGTCTCCTGTCCCTGCACCCGCGTGCCTGCCTTCTAACCCTCATACCGTTGGGCAGGTTAATTCACTGGACTGGGCCTCTGTTCCGTGGGAGTTGAAAAGATTTGACCTGGAAGAAACCCTACCGATCATTCAGTTAAGCCGCAACCCCACCCCGTTTTATATAGGTAAGGGTGCTTCACAGTGAGCGCTCGTCGCGTGCCTGGTGCTTTACATCAGTCCCCAAAGTGTCCTCGTGGTTTCTCTCTAACCTTCCCATAGTATGGGTGAGGACTCTGAGGCTCGGAGAGGTTGTGACTTTAGCCAGAATCACACAGCTTGTAACTGGTGGAGATAAGGACACCCAGACTCAGATTAAATCACTCGCAGTTTGTTCGTGGCAGATTACGTGTTAGAATCATGTTACACTATTATGAAACCTGGCCGTAAATCAGAATCACCTGGAACGGGTTTAAAATCTACATTCGTGGCTGGGCACTGTCCCGGGTTTACTGACTCGAAATCTCGGGCTACGGCTGAGGAAACTGTATATTTAACAAGCTTTCTGATAATTTTTATGATCTGTGGATGAAGCACTAAGTACCGCTGGGTAGACCACGGAGCCTTCTCACACAAAAACAACTATAAAATAATGTCTAAGGTACCTAGAGCAGAAGAGACGCTGGTGAGCATGGTAACATCATGTTCTAATCCCTTCAGCCAATTTGTACCCTTTCTTCACTCTTCAGAAACAAGCCAAAGGTGTATTTTAAACAAGTATGGACATTTGGATGCAAATTGCCCCAAGTTTGTTACCTGTCACACATCCACATTTAAGTTTCTGACTAGACCGGCCTGTCATGATCAAAGTGAGGAGTTAGTGTATTTCTCTATCCTTGGCAACCTGTCATCTGCTCTCTCCTCATCTCCATGCCAGGTCCCTAAATCGCCGGGATTGATGTTAGCTTTGGAAGAACTATTTGCAGAGCGTTTTCTGCCCTGAAAGGAAGGCTGGAAGCTTTGTGGGAGCATTGCCGCACATAAATGAGTGCCTCTTGGCCTTAAATAGCAGTTGGAATGAAACGGATCACCCTACTGTTCTTCATTGACATTTATAAACAAAACTGCCATAAAAATAATCACTTGGCTCTTAGTTTTAGAATGCTAATAAGCCTGACCATTCTGTTTAGTGCTTTATTATTATTAATTTCATCATTTATGCTGCATCCCTTAGGGATTCCGGTTCACAATGGATGCTGATCAAGAGAAAGATCTGCGGAAATTTCTTAAAAATGTGGATGAAATCAGTAAGTACTAGTAAATCATAAATTAATTTTTGCTTTAGAGAGGTGGAGTAGATAAAGGGAAATGATTACTCTAAGTTCCTGGGTGACTTGACAGGTTTGTAACTCTCAGGGAAAGAATGTAATTGAAATTAAACAGAAGGGTATTGAGAGGCAAGTTATAGCCTCGGGGCCGTATTTTCTGGCTGTTAATTGGTATCAGAGAAACTGTTAACATTCTGATAGGAATTCAGGCTGATGGTTTTCCTCCATATTTTGTATCCTTCTTTGTGGAATCCAGTCAAAACGAGCTGCTGTTTCCTCACTGACAATGAACCTAGCTGTTCCCTTCAAGGGTCTAGAGCCTCATTGATCAGTGTGAGATTCCTCCCGTTTTAGAGTAGAGCCATTTCTGTTCTAGAGCTGCAGAGGCAAAATCAAATGGCTTTCCTTTAGAATCCATCACATTACATGGATGGCTTATGATCGTCATTCCCTTCTCTTCCTCTAGATGAGAAAATCCTTTCCCAAGCTCAGACAGGTTGGATCTCAAAGAATATGTACTGTGATCCCACAGATCACTTTCAGTAATTTCCAAACCTGTCAGTCCCTGTTCAGGGAGCTCGTTTGAGTATAGAAACAAACCAACCAACAGGCAAACAGACCTTCCATAGTAAATACAAGAAATATGTTGAAATTGCTGCTTCTAGCAGATTGCCTGGGTTTATAGAATCAACTGGTTTTAAAGCTAGTTTGGGTGGCATCATAAATGATACATGTATAATGCCTTGTGTGCCTCATGGGCCTGCTCATCCCTGAGTGCTGTTCCATGGAGCTCTGGCCTTGGCCCACTGCTGCCTTTCTCTTCAGCTGGTCTAAACATGTAGCTTTACCTGCCATCAGTATGTGGTGGCCATGACCCCCACATCTACGTGGATACTTAGCCTTCTTTTCCGAGCCTCTGCCTCTATGATCACTGTCGTACCTACTGTATCCCACAAATAACTTAAACTTAAATGTGTCCAAAATGGAGGCATCATCTCTTTCCCTCCCCTTTGCCCTCCCCCTCCCAAATAAAACCTGCTTCTCGTACCCTCCCCTTCATCCTGGTCTCAGTTGGTGACACCACCATCTAGAAATTTACAAGTATCTGGGACTCCTCCCACCTCATAACCCTGCATCCAATTAGCCATCTAGTTTGGTTGGAGAGCCATCCTCTCCAACCCTCCCTTTGTTCTGGTTCCTCTCACCCAGACTATTTCAACAACCCCCTGATTGTTTTTCCTATCTCCAGGTTTATACTCCCCACAGAGTAATGTATCTAAAATGCAAATCTGACCCAGACACTTCTCTGCTTGGATTCCTTTTGCAGTCACAATAAATCCCAAGCTCTCATCAGGACTTAAGTCCTCCCATGACCTTGTCCTTACCTCTCTCATATCTCCCTTCCTCACGCTTGAGCAACAACAAACTGCTGATAGTTTCCCCCACACATACTCTGTGTTTCACACTCTGCACTGGGTCTTTGCCATTCCCACTGCCTCTTCATCTTTTTTTTTTTAACCTGGCTAACTTTTATGGATACTCACAGTTCATTCAGGTATCATTTATACCAGTGCTGTCCAATAGAGCTTTCTGTGATGATGAAAATTTGCCATAATCCTCACCGTCCACTATGGTAGCCACTAGCCACATGATTATTGAGTATTTGAAATGTGGCTTATAGCTCCACTCTGTGTGGTTAGGATTCTGTGTGTTTATGGCTGCAGCCCAGGTTTGAAATGTGGCTTGTTTCAATTAATTTAAATTTATGTAGCCACATGTATATAGATTCTGTACATTTACTTCTTGGGCTCTTGCTATGTGTTGAGTGTTGGTAGGCCCTAGAGAATACAGTCAAAGAATTACCTCTTTTCATGGTTTCAATAGTCCAGTGAAGAAAACAGATATTAAACAGTAATTTCAAGTGTGCAATATGAGACACAGAGAGAATTATAAAGTGTAGGGATCTAACCCAGCTTTGGGAGGTTGTATTAGTCTGCTAGGGCTGCTGTAACAAAATAGGCTGGCTGGCTTAAATGACAAAACTTTATTTTCTTAGAGTTCTGGAGTTTAGAAATCTAAGACCAGGGTGTGAGCAGGTTTGGTTTCTTCTGAGGCCTCTCTCCTTGGCTTGCAGATGGGCACCTTCCCGCTGCGCCCTCACATAGTCATCTCTCTGTGCGTGGATGTATCTGGTGTTTCTCTTCTTATAAGGACACTAGTCATATTGGATTAGGGCAATAATTAATTACTTCTTTAAAGGCCCTGTCTACAAATACAGTCATACCAGGAGTTATAGCTTCAACATGTGAATTTGGCAGGGGGGATGCAATTTAGTCTATAACAGAAATCAAATTAAGTTTTCCTGAAGAAGTGAGATTTAGGCAAAATGTGAAGAATGAGTAGGAGTTGGTCACTGGGGAGATGACAGGGGAGCATTCTGGGTGGGAAGTAAGGAGGCAGGAAAGCTAAGAGTGAAGAAAGAGTGTGGTGCTTTTGAGGAAGTGAAAGAATAAAAAGCCCCATATAGCTGGAAAGAAGAGATCAAGGAGAGAAGAGTCCGATCTGAATATGGAGGGGCCATATTAGGAAAGACCTTGGAAACCATGGTAAGGAATTTGTGTTTACCCTGAAAGCAGTAAATCCATTCCAACTAAAAATTTATGTAGTGACTCTTCCCTTAAGGAGATGGAGCATCTCTACCCCTTAAATGTGAGATACATTTAGTGACTTGCTTCCGAAGAGTACAGTATGGAAAGAGAGGGAAGAAAGTAACTTTACAGTGGAAAAGGTTGACAAACACAATTTCAGACAGATGATCAAGGTTAACCTCCTGATAAATCACGCTGATTGCATGCATCCTTGATATGCCATAATGTGCCATGGTCTTTTTCCCCAAATCCTGTAACCCAGTCTAACCATGAGAAAAATACCAGATAAACCCAAATTGCAACGTATTCTATGAAATACCTGATCAGTACTACTAAAAACTATCATGGTCATCAAAATAAGGAAAGGGTGATAAATGGTCACAGCCTAGAGAAGCCTAAGGAGACATGACTAAATGTCATATAGTGTTCTGGAGGGGATCCTAGAATAGAAAAAGGACATTAGGGAGAAAAACAATGAAATTAGAATAACGTGTGGAGTTGAGTCAATAAAAAAAGTTAATTAAAAGACATGAAAGAAGAGCTAAATAAATGGAGACATATTTAATCATAGGAAGACTTATTTGTTAAAGATGTCGATTTTTAAAATGTTCTATACAGTAAATGCAACTTAAATCAAAACCCCCAAAGTAGTATGTACTAAAATTCAGCAAGCTGATTCCAAAGTTTACATGGAAGAGCAAAGGACCAGCAAGAGCCAAGAAAACTGCAGGGAAAAAAAAAAAAAAAAAAAGCAGGACAACTCTCCCTACCTGACATTGAAGATTTATTATAAAGCCATAGTAATCGATGCATGGAGGTTTTGATGCTGGAAAAGACAATCAGGGGAAAGGAATGCAGAGCCTGGAGCAGACTCGCACATATTACAGGGCTGATGAGACACATTGCTGGCAGGGACTTCTCAACAAATAATGCTCCTGCCCTACATGAAAGTCAACTCCAGGTGAATTACATACCTTAATGAGAAAAAAACTTTAAAACTTTTATAAAATACCATAAACTAGTGTATTTATAACCTTACTGACACAAAAGGCCTAAATTGTAAAGGAAACGATTGGTATATTTAACACATTAAGATTAAAAAGAAAATCTCTTCAACAAAATATTCCATAAAAACAAATGAAAAGACAAAGCATGCCCAAGGGGAAGATGCTTGGAAATACATGTAACCAGTCCAGAATATACAACTGATAAGGATAGGAGACGGGAATAGTGGGTAGGAGAGGGTGGTTCCCTGGCAAAGACCCCACCTTCAAGCCTGGAGTTCTGCAGCCCTAAGTGGGAACAGGCATTTCTGTTTTTGTGCCCAAAAAGTTGCCTTTTGGCCCGCCATGCTCCCCTATCCTGTGCCCATATAAACCCTGAACTGCAGGCTCCAGAAGCAGGCAAGCAGGTGAGGAGATGAGGACAGAAGCAGACAAATGGCAGAATGACACAGCAGAGCAAAGAGGAGGAATGTCTGAACGCTGAGAGGAGTTTGGCTGGGAGCAGTCAGAGGGCAGTTTGGCCCCTGGATGGCCAAGCTCCAGGGGAAGATCATCTTTCCATTCCATCCCCCCTTCCAGTTCCCCATCCATCCCACTGAAAGCCACCTCCACCACTCAATAAAACCCCACATTCATCCTTCAAGCCTGTGTGTGACCCGGTTCTTCCAGGGATGCTGGGCAAGAGCTCAGGATACAAAAAGCCTTGTGAAAAGGCAGAGGATCCATCGAGCTGGTTAACACTCAAGTCGTCTGCAGATGGCAGGGCTAAAAGGACACACTGTAACACGCTTCCAGTTGGGCTCCTGCACTTGTCTCCCCCTCCCCTCAGGGGTTTGAGTAGTGGTGGTGACTGAACAGGCAAGCCACACCTCTGTCGCATGTCCTGCGAGGGGAATCAGAGAACTCCCCTGTTTCACAATCAAATCAACCAGGCATGGTGGTGTGTACCTGTAGTCTTAGCTACTCAGGAAGCTGAAGCAGGAGTATCACTTGAGCCCAGGAGTTCAAATCCGGCCTGGACAACGTAGCCAGACTGTCTCTTAAAAAAAAAATTTTTTTTTGAAAAGAAATTATGTTAACTAATAAGAAAGAGACAATGACCCAATAGAAAATTGGCCAAGAATAGGAGTAGGCTCTTCATAGAAATCCAAATGGGTGCAAATCAGTAAGAGGATGCTCAATTCCAATCACATTCAGCAAAATACATATTAAAACATTAATGAAATACCATTCCCATTCATTACATTGACAGCAATTAAAAAGTTTAACCTAGCAAGTGATGACAAGAATGTAGAAGAATGGGAACTCCCTCTTGTACACTTTTGTAGGAGTAAAAATTGGTACAGCCACATCCTGAAGGATTTGTAACATATGTGCACAGGGAAATATGTAAATAAAGATATTCAATTCAGCATTTATTTACTTTAGAAAAAACTAAAATTAAAAACCACCTGGCGGTCAATAAGAGAATGGATTAACTATGGTATATATAATGGTTTAAATGAATCAACTGAACCATATGTATCAAGAACAAATGTCTAAAGCATCTTAAGAGAAAAAAGTAAGTTGCAAACGAATGCACATTTTATACAACTATTTTTAAAAATTGTTTAAATATTGCATACACAAATATTCTGATAGATTGCAAGAATGGTTACAAATTCCTTTCTTCCTATCAAGGGTGGAGCCTATTTCTCTACCCCTTGAATCTGGGTTGGTTGGCCATGTGCCTCACTTTGGCCAAAAGGATGTTTGCAAACATGACACACACAGGCTTGAAAAGTGCATGTGAATTGGGGCTTGCACTCATGCCGCTCATGAGAAGGTAAGACACACTTCCCCTCATTGCTCGCATTTCTCAAGCCAACAGCCAGCGGACTTTCTAAAGCAGAGCCACTTAGATGACTGACAGTTGACCATGGATATATGTGTGAGTCCAGCTGAAACTGGAAGAACTGGCCAGCTGAATCCAGCTCAGATTGTTGACTTAGAGAATTGTAAACTAAGCCACAAAAATGGTGGTGTGTTTCAAACCACTAAGTTTTGACGTGGTGTGTGATGCAGCAAAATCTAAATGATATAAATACTAAGCATTAAAACATGCTGGAGAAAAGATACCATTAACTTATAAATGGCATAGAAACAAAAATGTTATATTACTTTCTGTATGCTTGAAATATTGTACAATTAAAAAATTTCAAACTTCCTTGAAGAGTCAGTGGGAAATGAAGAAATTGGAACAAGAAAATGTCTTTAAGAAGTTTCATTGTGAAGGGGAGGAGACAGAGCATTAGGAGAGATTTAAAGTACATAAATACATTTAGGAAGAAGCTGGTCGAATGGAGTGGGTTGAAAATATTGTGCAATAGGATTATTAATTGGTGATGCAGGGTTCCTGATTATGCAAAACATGACGATGGACTCCTGGGCCCAGGATGAGGGACTAACCTCACTGAAGAATGGGCACTTTTTCCTGGTAGGAAGGAAGGATGGATGTAGGTATAGGCAGTTTCGTAGTTTTAGTGGCAGGAAGTTGATGGCATCTCTCTCCTCTCTGAATTGATAAGTAAGGTCATCTTTTTGAGATGGTCAGGTTCAGATTACAAACTGTTAAAAGTCATTGGGGGAATGATAGGATATCTTGCCTAGGATAACAAGGATTGCTAGGCATCACTGAAGGTCCAGTTGAGTTTGGACCAGTCCCCCAGGCATCTATCTGTCTCCTTCAGTACTTAGCATTCCTAATACAGACTGAGAGAATTGGGTAATTGGAATCATGTAGAGCTGGAATTTTATCTGTTAGGTGGGATAGTGGGGCAAGGGAGTTGAGTATGTGGGCAGGATGACTGCCAAGTGATTGACCATGGAATCTAAGCTGGATAGGCAGTACAGTGAAGACAGGTGAGGATAGGGTTAAGGGCTGTTGTTTTGTGATTTTGGAGCTGCCTATACTTACATGTTTGTCTCCCACACAAGTTCATAAACTCTTCAAAAATGGATCTTTTTTTATTCATCATTGTTATCTATAACATCAACATAATATCTAATAATGAGTTCTCCATAAATTATTGTTGAATTGAATAATGGCTTAAAACTCTGTTCCTTAAAGCTAATAGCTACACTCACCTGCAACTTTTTTCTAGGCAAAAAAAAAAAAATACATATATATATGTTAATTTTTTCTCATTGGTTCTGCTTGCTCTATTTTGCTTTTGATTGCGCTATTTTTTTTCTTTAAGATCTTTCCCATACATTTTATGCACCATCCTTTCTAGTGAATAGAGTCTTTTGAATATCTTGTTTGATTAAGTCACATCTGATTTCTTCTCTAGCCAATTTAATTCAGGAGATGAATTCTGATGACCCAGTTGTGCAACAGAATGCTGTCCTGGAGACAGAAAAGAGACTGCTGCTTATGGAGGAAGACCAGGAGGAGGATGAATGCAGGACCACCTTGAATAAGACTGTGATCAGTCCTCCACAAACTGCTGTGAAGGTTTCTTTTTCTATTGAGAAGTTATATAAGTACAGACAGTGAGAAGACCTACACCAAGGCAGTAGTTTCATCTCAAACTGTCCGGCGAGGCTGAAATGGTCTTTTGTTTCTTAGATTCATTAGATTTATTTTTTATAAGAAAGTATAAAATTCAATTTTTTTTCCTTTGATCTTTCTGGGTTATCTTTGAACAACCCTTTGAATCTATTTTAATGAAAACTTCGCCTCTCCACCCCCTGAGCTTGTGTGATATATTTAAGCTGTACTTTTAAGGTAATGTATTCTAACTCATTTCCAACTCATAAGCCACAGCTGAGGTCTCTTGACCTGGGCAGCCTTGTTTTGCAGACTCGGTCCCATAGCAATTGTGCCCATAACCAGATCTCCTGATTTAAAGCAAGCCCCCCGAATTCTGATCTCTTTAGTTTTGATGGTTAAAGGAAATGACCTCTTGTTTGTAATTGATTTGCCTTCTTGGTTTATATGCATATAAATTAGAGAGTGGCTTTTGAAATTTGTTTCTTTGTTTTTATGATAACCTACATCTACAGAGTGCCGAAGAAGTAAACTCAGGTAAGGATAGCATCTCTCTTCCCAATTTTTATTCTTTATATAGGACCAGTTTTGATTGAGTGTAGCTCCCAGACCTTTAAATTATTGCCTCTGGGCTTACAAACAACCTGTGAACAAAAACCTACTGATCATCCCATTCTGTTACTAGTGGTCAGCAGGAACGTCCCTGAGAGGTTTTTCTCTATTTTCTGTTGGTCAACCTTTTGTAAACTCAATTCCTTTATTCTGTATCATCCAATTTACCCTGTTCAAGGGATCCAGATAGTTTCTCTGTTGCTCAGCTCAGAAGCTCATTATGCTAAACAGAACAAAAAAATCTGTCTTCAAAGAAAAACTCTTTTAAAAGACATAATTCAAATTTGAAGCACAGTCATAGCCATCATGTATAATAATAAAGCACACAGATTACCATTTAATGTCAAATTAAGAAAATGTCATTTTAGTTGCCTCAGAATTGTGTGTGTGCGTGTGTGTGCGCCTGTGTGCATATGCATACGTGTGACTCTAAAGTAACTCTTCTGAATTTGAGCTAAATAACTGATTATAGTATTTGGATTTTTCTTTTTAATATCTGAAATTACCCTGCTGTCAGAGGCCTTCTTGGCATCTGTGGAGAAGGATGCAAAGGAACGAGCCAAGAGAAGAAGGGAAAACAAAGTCTTAGCAGATGGTAATTGTCAGTCCTTACGTTTCAATGGTGGGATGATTTGTGCTAGAAAGAGCACACGAAAGCCTGAATGCTGACATTTGAGGACATCTAGATTCCCAGTGGTGAGGTTTGTGATGGGCTCGAGGCAATGGGACTTGGCCAGAAGGAAATCATTGGTGGTCTCTTCTTTATTCCTGCTGCAACAAGCAGGGGGTAGGATATACCTACCTCCAGTGAAACCTCTTTCTAAAGCATCCCTGTGCTCTTAGCAGAGCAAAGTGAATCGTACTAAACAGTGCTCAGGAAGTAGTAGGGGGTGAGAGTGAGCTGCCACTGGTTAGACTAAGGCATAGATGAAGAAGTGGAAAAGAAGAATAAAACAGCTGTGAGAAAAGAGAGGAGAAATCAAGGAAAAGGAAGGGATGGGATTGTGTATGTTGTGGGGAGATATATATGATAGAAGAATGTTTTCAATTTATTTTATACCACCCAGGGCTGTGTGTGCTGCAGGTCTGAATGATTCCATCTTTGTTGGGAAAATTAATTATTTGACCCTCTTTATGAGACACCGAATGCACAGATTTGGTCTCTGTGGCAAACTTAGTATAGTTCTGAGCCTTGGTGCAGAAACGTTTACTTTTTCTGAGAATCTACATAGAAGACATCAGCTCCAATTTCCCTAACTCGAGATTAGAAGACATGGGTGGATTTGGAGGAAAAAAATATACTTGAAGAAGCTGGTCCTGAAATATCTGCAGAGAAAAACAAATGTTGAGTCCCTTTAGGATCAATAGAAGTGAAGACCTTCAAAGTAGAATTGAAAAATCGGGGGAATAAAGTCTGAGAGATTTTCTGATGTGTGGTGAGAGCTCACCTGTGTGACTTATATTCCCATAGCCCTAAAAGAAAAAGGGAATGAAGCATTTGCTGAAGGCAATTATGAAACAGCTATCCTGCACTATAGTGAGGGTTTGGAGAAGCTGAAGGACGTGAAAGTGCTGTACACCAACCGAGCCCAGGTCAGTGAGGCAAGCGTGTGTCCATGGGACTTTCTCAGGGAATAGTTACCACTAAACCTGGGAAAACAAAGATGAGACTAGATGGTGGACTGGGAAATGTTTATAAGAACTGGCTCTTGTTTTGGGTGTGGGAGGAGCTGACTTATACGTAGCATTTACCAGTTTCCATGATGCAAATATTCTCACCATGATCTAATTTGAAATCACTGCAGGAGGACTTGGGAAGAACTGCCCATTATCAGCTGTCTCCATAGTATAAGTCAGTTCTATCATATCACTGATGGTGACCATGCACTTGTCCTTGTGGATAAAGGAGAAAACTAGTGGAATGAAATGACCTATAGGACCTTAGAATTCTGCTACCAACAGATTTCTTCAGCCTCCTTTTTTGGTACTAGTCTTAACTCCTAGGGGATGCCCTCCTATTAGTTTCTCATTCGTTGTATCAGTCTCTCTTTAAGATTCTGCGACGGGGGTAAAGTGGATAGCCAGTGGTCCTAGAACCAATTTCTTGGAAATTTTGGGTTTCTTAAAGTTTTTATGCCTTAGTATGTGTCACAAATGAGCTCAGTTTCTTGGAACACCAGGTAAAAACCACCCAGATGTTTATTTACCACTTAATGAAGGGATGGGCTGATAGCTCTCAACTGAAACAAAACCATCACCTGTGACCTTGTGTTTGAAAAGTAGTTTAGTTTCTGTGTGGTAGAGTTCTCTGCCGGACAGGCCTGAAAATTTGGCAGATTCGTGGACATGATTACCCCATGGTCAGAATATGTCAGCAGGACCTGTGTGAGGTGGACTTGGCGATGCCTTGTCATTTGCAAGAGGGAGAGGCTGCAGCAGAGTCCTCATCAGCTCCAATTTCCCTAACTCGAGATTAAGAATGTCTGGCTCTGGGATGTTGAGAAAGAGGATTGGAAGCAAGAAACAGGACATTCAGAGGCCAGAATGTCTGGGAGTGATAGTGACTTAATGATAAATAAATCCAAGCAGTATCATCTCACTAGTTTAGCAATTTGGATAAGTTAAACTAGAGTTGAAGTGTCACTTAAACTATCCCAATTTTGGAGAAAACTAGTTATAAGGAAGTGAATCGGTAAAAAAGATGGCCAGAGGTTGATTTAACAGTACATTGCATTACCCGAACAAGATTATAAACTTTTTGAGGGCAAAAACTACCATATACTTTTTCCCTTAATGCTTTATTTATAGCAGATGTTCAATAAATCCTTTTTTAGTTACATAACATTGGAAGCACAATAAGTCCAATTAAGGGAGTTAAGTTTCTGTTGACAATTCAGAAGCGTCGCTTAAATGCAAGCAATTAATAGAATAATTATAGTTCCTTCTTATTTATTACCAAATTTGGTCTCTAAAAACATCTGCCTACTGATGCTTGTTCAGTTGTGTTACTCTGAAGTTATTTGAAAGCAATAAAATTGAATTGCTTTAAAAAAGTTATGTAATTCAGACATATCTAATTCAGACTGTCTATGCTCTGATTCATCTGAATTAGTTGTATTTTCACTGCACTCATTTTTAAGCAGCACTTTGATTAGTTCTGAAGAATCACATTAAGAATGAATGTGGATAAATATAAGGAAATGTAATGAAAAGGTTTGAGGGAGTGATTCCTCCCAGCTTTCCCAAGGAGAAAACTTACACAGAGACAAAAAAATGGAAAATGTACTCCCTGGTGTTACAAACCGTTTGAACCACTGAACTGTTTTTAAAATGCTTCCCCTGTATGCATGCAGTGTTAGAAAACACTTAATAAGGACCCTGTAAATTGTCTCTTGCTAGAGAGAAAACCTAACCTTTCATTGCCTTGTTTTTCCCCTGGAGTGAATGTTATGATCAATAGATTGCCGGTATAATTTAGATAAATCTGGAGTTTAATTGCTATTTGGAAAAAGTAGTTCTTTTTTAAAATGTGCAAAAGCGAAAGAGATTGAGGAAGTTATAGGGTGTTTAATCCAAGCCTTAAGAGAGAAAGAAAAAAAAAAAGTAAAAGGCCGTGTAGAGAAATTGTTGCAACCCATAAAGACTTCTTCAGAGTCTGCACGATTCCTGAATAATAGTGCCATGAAATCATGGCCACAGCTGTCTAGAATGATGCCAGCTTCCTTCTCACATCCCCTAATTTTCAAATGAAACCTGAGACCCTGGAGAAAAGGATGATGCTTTACAGAACAGATAGCTCAAAGAGTCATCTTCTCTAATTACTACAGAACGTGAGTTAATGAAAGCACCACTTGCAGCTTCCTTGCTATGGGAGCCAGGAGCGGCATGATTTCAATGCATTTGCTGGCTGTTGCCTGCTCTCTTCTCACTTGGGTTGGATACTTGGATTACCTGTGAGTTGCAACATTAACCCCACAATTGGCTTGTCCATGCAAATATCTCATCAGGTGTGTTGTTAAGAGTGTTGCAGTACCCTGGTACAGTTTTGATCATGAACAATCCTACGTGTAGTACTGGCTTTATTACTGGTGACTGATGGAACCCTGGAAAAGCCACTGCTCCTGGTGCTTGGCTATCCTTTTGTACAAATGGGATGATCGGTGCTGCTTCTTAGGGAGCTTTCCAGAAGAAGAGTGCTTCAAGGCTACTTAGTGCAATTTGATAAGACTTTATTGACCACTTACTGTGTCCAGTAATTAATAGAGAGGTTATAGTAGCCATTGTGCTTGTTTATAAATAGTCGTTCATTTGTTTATATTCCTCTAGTTCTCGATCTAAGTTCTCAATCAGTTCAGTTTGAATGGATCACGGAATTCTGAGTCAATTCTTGATTTTCAAGATTTTCCCCAATTCTAAGGGATTCTAAAAGAGTGCCCCAGGCATTTGATACTAAGGGTTCATGGTGATGCTCTTGACTCTCATATGTCTCTCTACTTCTTTCATTTTTTTTCTGCTGTGCTCGGAAGGACAGAAGCAGAGCTTTTTTATTATCTTTTGATAACAGCGTTATTGAGATATAATTCACATACCATACAGTTCACCCTTTTATAGTACACAATTTAATGGGATTTTAGTATAATCACAGAGTTGTGCGACCATCACAATTTTTGAACATTTCATCATCATCCCCCAAAAAACTTCATCTTTACCTGTCAACTCCCCAATCCTCCCATTGCTACTCTCAGCCCGAGATAATCACCAGTCTACTTTTTGTCTCTATACCTTTGTCCGTTCTGGACATTTTATATAAATGAAATCATACATTTGTCCTTCTGTGACTGGCTTCTTTCATTTATCATAATGTTTTTAAGATTCATCCATGTTATGGTATGTATCAACTCTTCATTTCTTTTTATTGCTGAAAATTTTCCGTTGTATGGATATACCATATTTTATGTATCCCTTCATCACTGATGGACATTTGGATTGTTGCCTTTTGACTATCTTGAATAATTCTGCTATGAACATTCATGTATAAGCATTTGTATGGATGTATGTTTATATTCTTCTTGGGATATACCTAGGAGTAAAATTACTGGGTCATATGGTAACATAACCTTCTGAAGAACTTCCGGACTATCTTCCAGAGGGGCTGTGCCATTTTAATTCCCACCAGCAGTGTATGAGGGCTCTAATTATCTGTCTTTTTTATTCCCTTTATCATTTGGTGGTTTTCTGAAACATTCACAGCAGGGTAGACTCCAGAATTCAGCTCTTCCTTCTTGGATGTAGCTAGTGAGCTGGGTATTTTCTGTGTCCCTCTAGATCTTTCCCTGCACTGTGCCCTGGAGGGCTGACCTGTGTGGACTGGCTCCTTGGCTTCCCAGCCTTCTAGCCTCCATTTGCAGTCAGCCAATAAAATAAGAAGGAAGGAGGAAAAGTGAGATTGGGTATTATTCTCCTGGCCTTTGGCTCTAGTGAAGGCCTCAGCTCATATCAGGCAGTTCTTTTCGCAGAGCTATCCTCTCCCATTGTGTTCATTGCTCCCTCCTTCTGCCCCTTCTATTACAGCGGTAGTAATGGCTGTCCACTGTTGCTAGCTCTCAGATTCTGTAGCATCCCTTGTCAGGTTCCCTAAGCCCTGCCTTCACCGTGGAAGAGGTCTCTGTATTCAACTCTCAGTTGCCCAGTGTAAGTGTGCCATGTGTTTCCTGGCAGGACCATGACTGATCTAGGTAGGGGATAGTTCTCGCTAACATTCTACTGTTCGAATGTTCTTTCTGCGTGAACTGAAAACTGCCTGATGCAGAGGTGTGTGAATATCAGCTGTTGGTTTCGTTACAGGCTTATATGAAACTTAAGAACTATGAGAAGGCGCTGGTGGATTGCGAATGGGCTCTCAAGGTAAGAGAGTATTTCTTTTCCCCCATGATGGTATTGGGCTGAAGTAGATAGAAGGCAGCTGCCAGTGTATCAAGATAGGAAAGGGTATAACCCTGTAGCCAGAGCTTCAGTTTCCTCATCTGTAGAATGGGATAGAATAGAATTGTTAGGAGGGTCATGACAATGCACAGAAAGCGCCTGGTTCCTAGAAAGCAATCCAGGGAGCTGCTGCTATTGAATTTTCAGTGTCTTATATTACTACAGCTCCTTCTTTACTCTTGTGTTATCAGACACTTTGTTCTATGTGTTAGTGGAAATGCCTCCTTCTCTCTTCCGGGGCCAGCCGTTGGAGCTGATTTCTGCAATGCTGCAATGCTGTTCTTCCTTGTCAGTTTGTGTTTTTTCCCTCCAGCCCTAATAATTTGAAAATATGGCATCCTCTATTTGTAGAGGAATAATCAGAAGAAAGAATTCCTATTTTTCAACTTTAGTCAGGCCTTGGGCAGATAAAATAATTCTACGCGTGGCATTTCCTCTGAAATCTGCCAAAATAGATGGTGAAAGATGCATAGACGTAAAGACTGTTGATGGAAATGTTAAGAGTTACTAAAAGAGGCCGGGCGTGGTGGCTCAAGCCTGTAATCCTAGCACTTTGGGAGGCCGAGACGGGCGGATCACGAGGTCAGGAGATCGAGACCATCCTGGCTAACACGGTGAAACCCCGTCTCTACTAAAAAATACAAAAAACTAGCCGGGCGAGGTGGCGGGCGCCTGTAGTCCCAGCTACTCGGGAGGCTGAGGCAGGAGAATAGCGTAAACCCGGGAGGCGGAGCTTGCAGTGAGCTGAGATCCGGCCACTGCGCTCCAGCCTGGGTGACAGAGCGAGACTCCGTCTCAAAAAAAAAAAAAAAAAAAAAAGAATTACTAAAAGAGAAATAACACAATCACTTTTTACGGACATGACCAAATATTTAAGTAACCCTTAATCCACATTCCCCTGAATTACTCTGTCACGGGAGTTTTAACTAAGTAACCAAAACTAGTGCTTCTCAGACTTCTGCACTTGCTGCTAACAGCAGAGGAGAATGGACATGAGCCCCTCGAGAGGGACTAGAAACAGAAAGCATGAAATTTCTTTTAAGATGTGTGTTTTATCTTAAAAACCTTGTTAATTTTGCACCGCACTTCATGAAGGTTATCTGTTTGTTTTGATATAACAGCATTATTTTCAGTAACTTAGAATCAAGTAAAATTGAGGTGCCAGGAGAGTGTGCCAAGTTTATCCTGTGGCTTCAATTCTTGGGTACAGTGCAGCTACCCTAGCCTAATGAGTATGTCCGAAAACAAGAGGACACTTTCCTAGCAGCATACTGGCCGTATCTGCTTTATTTCTTGTTGAGAGGGTAAGCAAAGGAAACAGGGATGAATGAGAAAGTCACCTCTGCTTATAATCATTCATAAAACACTAGGGATCCTCTTAACACTGACATCTGGAGTGTCCAATTTCTTTATCCCTTAGAAGATACAATGTGTGGCAAATTTTGTTCCATTGCATGAGTATAGTCTTTAAGTTATAAGGTTGGGGCCGAAGCTCATGACGTCAAGCTCTTCACAGCTCCATCATAGGTCCACTAACCTGCTTTGTTGCCTTGCCTGATAATGATTTCTTTTTCTACCATTATTCTGCAGGAGAAGAGAGAGGCAAGGATGTTTTCCTTGGTTTTTCCAGTAATAACAGCAAACAACATCATTTGCTGCATGCTCACAAAATTCTATTCTGTTCTGTTCAGTGTCACTATTTTCTCTATTTTTCTGACGAGGAAATCAAGCCTCAGTGATTGATTAAGTACTTTGTGCAGGATCATGAAGCTAGTGTCTGTCTAACTCTAAGCCCAAGCTCTTAACCTCTATAAAGGGCCTCTCCACTGCAACTTTGAACCCCATAATCCCTGGGTGTGGATGTCTTTCCCATCTGTGGAAGAAACATGATCTCCTCACAGGTTCACCAAGAGTATCTTTTCTGATCTAAAAAAGGCCAAAGGGGCAGACATACCATCATGCTGATTCAGGATAACACACTGGCCTGTTCCCAAATGTTAATTGAAGTACAATGTAATTAACAGTGAAACCGAGGCCAAGCAGGCCCAATGGAGCTGACATTAAAAAACGCTGACACTCAGCAGCCAATCTTGTTAAATGCCCAGCGAGGCTCCCAGTTGAAGAGGTTTGGGTAAACACTTGGAGAAATGAGAAAAAAAAAATGTACAAAGAGTTCTAAAAACTAATAATGATTTGTTTTATGTTACAGCTGTGAATTTAAAACTTTTGCTCTCTTTAAAATTAATGTATCAATAGCGAACGTCACTGGCACTCCATTACTAATAGTATTAGTACTTTCATGCCAACTTAATCTTTTTTGACACTTTTAAATTGGTAGAGACAAGCTTATGTGATGATATTTCAAGACTGATGTTTCTTGTCAAGGAAGATAAGGCAGCAAAGCTGGTTTCAATTAGGACCAGAATCATTTCTTTCTCAGCAGAACACTTCTTGCACAATGAAATATGTCTTCCTCTGAAGGCAGGATTCCTTTAAAGGGAAGCTGGGGTTCACCCAAGAACATTCTCGTGAGGGTTGGTACATGGTCAAAGGAGAATGGGCCTATTAGTGAGAAAAATCCATTAGCAGCCTTTTGCGTCATTGTCTTAGGAAGGCAAATTGACAACTATCCGCACTTCACGGTGACACACGGTAGGTCGGGGACAAGGCTTTAATGCTTGGGGCTCGGTTTCCCCCACCTGCCGTAACCCCGGTGCTCTGCCAGTGAATGTACTGTGAATATTTGGCTTTCATGAGCTGAAGTGCTAGAGTTTCCTCTTTTCTCTTTGACCATCCCTTTCCTGCTTCCTCAATTTTATCCTTTGTGAATTCATGAGGGATCACCCCTCTGCTCCCTGTCTTTTGTCTCTGTACAGTTACTCCTTTACAGCTCTCTTCTCTCATGGGCTCAACTCTTATCTCTGCAAATGGCTCTCAGACCTACTTCCCCAGTCTCCCCTTCCCCAGCTCCAGGGCTGCATGTCAGCTGCCTCCTGCAGGTGCCTTTTGATAGTCTTGATGTCATCTGAAACTCAGTATGTCTAGAAGCCAACTCTTCATCTTCTCACTCAGCCTTTCTCACTCCCTGCCCTAGCTGACCTCTTTCTGTTAATGACACACCACGTCTTTTAGGTATCTAGGCCCCTGGTTTTGACTTCACATCCTCCATCACCCTTATCACTGATAGTTAGTTGATGCTGGTCAGATCTTTCTGTGACATAGCTCTGGCATCTGCACTTCCTTTACCTTCCACTGTCACCAGGACTTCAGACATTAGCCCTTGTTCTAAGTGATAGTTCTGCTCTCCTTACTTATCTCTCATTGTTCAGCCCACCATACCTCTTGTTCAGCCTTTCCCTCCTCTGATCACATCTGCATGCCACCTTCCTACCAGCTTACCTCCACACTGCCATTGGTGACTCACCCTCCTCCAGTGTGGCTCAAGGTGGGATCTTCTCTCCACCCAGTACCTGCCCCTCGATCCCAGCTGGACTGTCCCCAAAGCCCCTTGTACTCTCAAGTTCTTGCCCAGCCCACTCTCCCTCCATCCTCCTCTCTTCACCTCTATGTGTCACTAAGACTCAGCCCATATCCCTCCACCTTTGCATGCCCTTTTAAAGACTGCATTTTGAAGCATATTTTCTTCCACTGATTTTTTTCAGTAGCTTTTTCTATAGCATTTATATGCTCTTTTCTGTAGCACCTTTCTGAAGGAGATTTGGTGTCATTTTTAAACCCTTGAGAGTTTAATGGCCAAATTTCAAATTACAGCTCTTCCACTTGTTATCTGTGTGACCTTGGGCCTCTCCAACCCCTAGTTTTCACATCTGTAAAACAGGGATAATAACTGTATCTGCTTCGTAGAGTTGTTTTAAAGCTTCTGTGAGATCATCCATATGAACCATAAAGCTTAGTGCCTGGCACATGGTTTGGGCTGAACAATCATGCACATTTATTTTTATTATGACTTCCATTCACTTAGCAGTGAATTGGGAAATGATATACACAAGAATGTATCTCTAAAAGCTTCTCCATCAATTATTGTTCTCTCTTTTATTATTGTTGTTATTCTTCTCTCTTATTATTACTGCTCTCTTTTATTAAATTTAGATTTTCTCTTTTGCTCTGAAATGAATTGCTGCTGATATAACTGCAGCAATAGCAGCTAATACTCTGTTACCCAGAGCCACACCAAGTGTTTTACATAATTTCTTTCTCGCAACAACTTGAGAGAAATACTATTATTGTCTTCATTTTCCAGGTGAGGAAAATGAGTGTCAGAAAAGTTAGGCGGCCTGGCCAACAACATGCCACTTTTGCTGAGTAGCAGAACAAGGATCCACCCAGGACATTTTAGACTCCTGAGCTTGAACTCTTAACCTCTTCATATCTAAACCTTTGAAGGGCATCTGATTTGGCACAATGTCTTGCATATAAAAGAAGTTCAATAAATGTTCATTAACTGGATGTCTTAGATTTTAGTGTATGTCTCTGTCAAATCATTCCCTGTGGAGTTATAATGACTAGGGTCAGGCAGGTGCAGGGCCCCCTGTGTAAATGGTCTAGTTTCAGCCATAAGTTTCAATCCTGCCTTTTGAAGGGGGCATCCCTACTAATCTTAAGTAATATGAACAGAAGGTCCCAGCACATATGTTGTGGTTTATTTGGGAGGAGGGACTTCCCAGGCCCACTAAGATGTAATGGTAACCTCAGCTGTTTTCTTAGAGTAAGTTCTCTTCTAGTAAACCAGTGACTCTCAAACTTAGCTGCATGTTTACCTCAACTAGAGAGCTTAAAAACTTATTGATGCCTTGGTCTTATCCCAGAGTATAATGTAATTGATGTGGGGTGCAGGGCCGGCAGGATTTTTACAAGCATCCTAGATGATTCTAATGTTCTGCCAGTGTTAAGAGCTCTTCTAAACTGAGGGTTTGCTTCCTGATTGCGTCTCATTAAATGGAAATGAAAAGTGGCAGGTATCATTAATTAATTTGGTGAAGAGCTTGCTGCTGCACCCAGGCTCCTTGCAGACCTCAATTAGTTTGGTCACAAATGCACAAAAAAGTTTTGTCGATTCTGGTAGTTACCCTGAGAATCAAAGCTTCGCCTTAACTCTTTTAGCTGTGTAGTGAGGGGAGTGGCAAATGACTTCACATCTTCTAAAACTTCTGATCAGTCATTCTCTTTTATGCAGTGTGATGAAAAATGCACAAAAGCATATTTTCACATGGGAAAAGCCAACCTGGCCCTGAAGAACTACAGTGTGGTAAGTTCTTAGAGGAATGTAATTCACATGTTTGATCACAGACTGATGCTCCCAGTTGTGCTAGAGGAGAACCATGATTCTCCAAGCTGATTAGGTATCAATCCATCCTTCAGTATTTTCCAAGGTAAAGCTCAAGATCGTAAAGTTGGGAAGAATTTTGGTTGTCAGTTCAGTTCCACCAGTTGTAGGACTTTCTTCTGCAACATCCTCTACCAGTGTCTGTTCAGTCTCTGGAGAGAAAATACATAAGCAAAAAGAGAAAACAAAATTTGCTGTAACCTCATCACCCAAAAGTAACCATGCAGATCAGTCAACCTGTCTATCTATCTATCTATCTATCCATCTATCCATACTAAGATATTTTATATCGTTAAAAGTAACTTTATTGAGATATAATTCACATACCACACAATTCATCTGTAGAATGTATAAAAACTATATGATTCAGTAGCTTTTAGTATATTCACAGAGTCAGGCAGCCATCACCACAATCAATTTTAAAAAATTTTCATCCCTTCCTGGACAAACCCTGTACCCATTAGCAGTCAGTCCCCTTCCCCCAGCCCCATCTCAACCTTAGGCAACCACCAGTCTTTCTGTCTCTATACATTTGCCTGTTCTGTAGATTCCATATAGAGTCATACGATCTGTGGTCTTTTGTAACTGAGGTCATTCACTTAGTATAATGTTTGCCTGGTACATTTATGTTGTAGTGTGTATCAGTTCTTCATTCCTTTTTATTGTTGAATAATATTCCATTGTTTGATACCATGTTTTATTTATTCATCAGTTAACGGACATTTGGATTGTTTCCACTTTTTGCCTGCTATGAATAACACTGCCATGAACATTCATGTGCAGGGTTTTCTTTTTTATGTTTACTGTCCTCTTGGGTATATATCTAGAAGTGGAATAGCAAGGCCGTATGGTAACTCTGTGTTTAACCTTTTGAGGAACTACCGAACTGTTTTTGAAAATGGCTGCAGCATTTTACATTCCTACCAGGAGTGTATGGGGGCTCCAGTTTTTCCACATCCTCTTCAATACCTGTTATCTATTTTTTTGTTATAGCTATTCTAGTGGGTGTGAAGTGATATGTCATTGTGGTATTGATCTGCATTTTTTTGGTGACTAATGATGTTGATGATCTTTTCATGTGCTTATTGGCCATTTATATATTTTCTTTGGAGAAATTTCTTTTTTTTATAATGAGATGTAAATGTCGTTTATATATTCTGAATACAAGTTTCTTATCAGATACATGATTTCCAAATATTTTCTTCCACTCCTTGTATTACCTTTTCATTTTCTTGATGATGTTCTTTGCAGCACAAAAATGTTTAAGTTTGATAAAGCCTCAATTACCTATTTTTTCTTTGGTTGCATGTGATTTTGGTGTTATATCTAAGAAATGATCATCTAATCCAAGGTCAGGAAGATGTATACCTATATTTTCTTCTAAAAGTTTTATGGCTTAGCTCTTAAATTTAGCTATCTCTAATCCATTTTGAGTTCATTTTTTGTATGATGTGAGGTTGAGGTTCAACTTCACTCTTTTTCATGTAGATGTCTACTTGTCCCAGAACCATTTGTTAAAGAGACCATTCTTTCCCCCATTGAGTGATTTTGGCACCCTTGTCAAAAATCAGTTGACCATAAATATATGGGTTTATTTTTGGTCTTCCAGTTTTATTCCATAGATCTACATGTCTGTCCTTGTGTCAGTACCACAGTGTCTTCATTTTTGTAGCTTTGTAATAAGTTGAGAAGTGAGAATCCTTCAGCTTGGTTCCTCTACTTTTTCAAGATTGTTTTAGCTATTCTGGTGCTCTTGAATTTCTGTATGAACTTCAAGATTATTGTGTCGATTTTTGCAAAGAAACCGGATGGAATTTTGATGGGTATTACATGAATTCATAAGTCAATTTGGCAAGTACTGCTATCTAAACAATATTAAGTCTTCCTATCCATGAACATAGGATGTCTTTCCATTTATAAGATATGTCTTTAAAATAAATTGCTTCATATTACACATTTTTTAAAAGTTTGTTGGATTTTAATTGTAAATGTAATGCAGGCTTATTGTAATGAAGCTAAATAAAAGAAATATGAATAAAGGAAATGTTAATCTTTCCCTGTCCACCAATTTTTATTTACTCATTCAATTTATTCATTCAGCAGATATTTATTGCATGCTTTCTATGTGTCAGACACTGTTAATACAGGCAATAAAGAATACATCAGTGAAACTAGACAAAGTCCTTGGCTTCATGGAACTCATGTTCTTGGGGTAAGGGTGACCAGGAGACAAAAACAATCAAATAGATGTGTAGTACGTTACATGCACTATGTTAGATAGTGGTATGTAGTACTGAGAAAAATAAATCAGGAAGCAGTAAAGATGAGACTGGTTTTATATAGAGTGGTAAGAAAAGGCTTTCTAAAGGAGTGGAGGGAGTGAAGTGAGCAAACCATGTGGATATATAAGGGAATAAATTCCTGGTGGAGGGATAGCTAGAATGCAGCCAGCAAGAGGAGAGCAACAGGAGATGAGGTCAAACAGGTGATAATGGTGGGGAAGGGGCTGATCCTGTAGGGCCTTACAGGCTTTTCAAAGGACTTTGGCTTTTACTTTGAGTGATCTTCAAGCTTTATTGGAGGATTTTGAGTAAAGGAATTAAATGATCTGACTTATATTTTAAAGGATTACTCTGACTGCTAGACCGAGCATGTGTTTCGGCATGGTAAGATAAGAACAGAGAACGAGTGATAAGGCTATTGCAATAAATATCCAAGCAAGAGGTGATGATGGGGACCAGGTTGGTAGTGACGGAGGTGGTAAGAAGTGATGGGATTTTGGATATTTACTGACAGTGAAGCCAACAAAAATTGTTGCTAGGTTAGATCTAGGGTTGAAGAGAAGTTGGATACAGGGTCACTCTGATGTATAGACTTCTGTTCCTGCAACACCGTTCTCTACTTTAATGCACTATTTTTTCCTTCAGTTTGTTTCTTAACTCTAGTCTTCTAGACGAACTTTGAACCTTCAAGATTATCTCAGAACTGTTTGTTTGTTTGTTTGTTTCTTTTGGGGGGTTTTTTTTTCTGAGCTTTTTCTCTAGGTGACTGGTTAGATTATACTCTGGGCAGTTCTTATATTCCTGTGAGAAATACAGCACTAAGCCCAGGAATCCCATGAACTAGAATCTTCATTTTTCCAGTAACTTTCTATCTAGCAATTTCCTCAATGAGAAGCTCTCATTCTTGAGTTTTCCAGCTGACTCTTATGTGGCCAATAAATGGATCCCTTACTGGTTCTCTTCACAGCCTGTACATTTAACTAGGCAGTTCTCTTTTCCTATTCCCGAGTCTCTGTCAACATTGCCTCTAGTTTCATTTATTTCCTAACTCCCTATGGACATATCTGACAGCCTTCTGTGCTCTGTCAGTGCAAATATCATATCTAAGTTTTGCATTTACTTTATGATTATTTCTATCCCAGACAGACATGATCCACAAGAATTTAAGACTGGATATTTTTCATCATGAGCATCTAACAACACTGTTTCTTTAAAACGAATTTTGAAATAATACCTGTTGCCCCCTAGAACTGGAGAAGCCTGAACAAAATGTCAAATGCACACTGTGTTCCTGTGCCTGCCTCCTGCACTGGGAGCAGGAGGAGGCGTGGAGAAAATAATGAAGCAGCCAAGCCCAATGACACCCATTGTCTTTCTCATAATCACGTTTACCCCAACCACTCTTCAAGGTCTTGTTTCTTTTTTCTAGTCTAGAGAGTGTTATAAGAAGATCTTAGAAATAAACCCCAAGCTGCAAATCCAGGTGAAAGGTGAGTGTGTTCCTGCTGAGACCCCTTGTCTGAACTCCACCTCCCTCTGCCTCCTGCCTTAGAATGCCTTCCGTGCTTTCACTGCTCTTGGCCACAAGGCAGCAGCGGATCCTCTTTCCTGCACAGTTCAGTCTTCTGTGTTAACTGGCCCACTCTGCTCCTCTGCTTGCTGTAATCCCTTGCAAATATTAATATTTGCCTTCTTCGTTTTCTACACCATCCTCCCTTAGACACTTTTAGACTCCCTTGAATCTCCAACAAGGTTTAAGATTCTGGTTGTAGATTTAGACTGTTTCTAAAATTTTCCTTGCTAAAGAAGAGTTTTAATTATTTTAATGCTTTATGCTTCTCAAACTCCCATCATCAAAAGAAAGTAAAAAAAAAAAAGGTTGCTTCTTGTGTGGTATTGTTGATTGTTAGGGTTTTGTTTTGCTTTTCCTTTCTTGTTTTTCTAGATTACCTGAATCAAGTAGATCTTCAGGAAAAAGCAGACCTTCAAGAAAAGGAAGCCCATGAACTGCTGGATTCAGGAAAGAACACAGCTGTGAACACCAAGAACCTCCTGGAGACCCTTTCCAAGCCTGACCGGATCCCCTTGTTCTATGCAGGGGGGATTGAGATCCTGACTGAAATGATAAAGGAGTGTAAGCCAGAGATGTGTGTGATCTCACGAGTGCTGTCAGTGTGAAGGGACATGTTCAGAGGTCTGCCCTCAAGAATCCCTCCCTTTCTTCCGCAAATATTGATTGAGGATGTACTCGTAATGTAGCTGCTAAAAGGGGTGCACAAGAATGTCCTCCCGCCTCTGCTCCGTCCTCTTTACAGAGCGTGCGTACACTCGGCACACGTGTAAGAAACATACACAACACAACACATACACATGACACACGCTCCATATATACTTACATACGCCACACATGCGCTCAGCTTTCACTCACTTGAATATATCCTTATATTACGCACACACCACATACCGCACACAGCACACTCACACCATAAGTACTCACGTCAGTCCACATATCTTGCGCACACTCCACCCTCACATTTTCTCCACACACCCCATGCACATCCTGCATGTACTCCACATATACCCCCACAGACACCTCAAGCATCCCATACCACCTCGCACACTTTCCCTCCACTGTGGAGGAATGGAAGACAGAATTTTATAGGTTAAACTGTAAGGTTCACCCAGTTACACTGATGGCTGCTTAGGATGTGAAAATGGTTTCAGAGCAAACATCAGCTCTCCTACTAATGAGGGTCATACTGTTTTCTTTTACTAGCTCTTGTAAACATTGTTACCAAGGCTTAAATAATCTCTATACTCAGTGACAGCATGTTGTTTGTACAAATAGATGGAGTGTCTGACTTCTCTTTAGTGTACAATGGAGGGCATACAAATACCCCCTTTAGCAGTTTCTTGGAGATTATAAATTCCTCTCTAGAGCCTGGAAATAGCTTTGAAATAAATATTTAAGAACAAATGGATATGCTGGTACTTCCCATAGGTTAAGCAGCTCTGGGAAGCTCTCTAAAGATTACAGAATGATGAGCTGTGCAGATAGCCCTTGTGGCTACCCCAGCTCTGTTCTCCTTCTGTAAACAGTCCCTCTACCTGAGAGGCACTGAGGCCTCTGACACTGAGAGGTTGCTGACAATTGTATTTTTCCAAATGTAAAGTTGATTTGTTTCTGCCAAACCATTCATGTGGGCACCGTGACATTCCATATTAGGTTTCTCATTAGCAGGTGGCTGTGTCGCAGCTAGACACCAGCCAGCCAGTTTGGGAGTCTAAAGTGGTTTTCTCTGTATCTGTTTCAGGCACAGAACAAACTTTATTCAGAATGCACGATGGATTTAGTATCATCAGTGACAACGAGGTCATAAGAAGGTAGGGATGTTCATAAAGACAGCCCAGCATCAAAGCAAGGGAAGATAACCACTTCTTATGAAATCAGACACGAGGCATATAGACAGTCACATTTCTGAACATTACCACCCTTCAATCAGTAGTGGGGGGCTCTCCAGGAGTGCAAAGCTACTACACGAACATCTTTGAGTGCTGGCCTTAAAGTCACTGGAGTTACACTGCAGTTAACAATTGAGGCTGGGCACGGTGGCTCATGCCAGTAATCCCAGCACTTTGGGAGGTCAAGGCGGGCGGATCACTTGAGGTCAGGAGTTTGAGACCAGCCTGGCCAACATGGTGAAACCCCGTCTCCACTGAAAATACAAAAATTAGCTGGGCATGGTGGCGGGCACCTGTAATCCCAGCTGCTCGGGAGGCTGAGGCACAAGATCACTTGTATCTGAGGGGTGGAGGTTGTAGTGAGCCGAGATCACGCTACTACACTCCAGCCTGGGTGATACAACCAGATTCAGTCTCAAAAAAAAAAAACAATTTAAGAGAGAGGAACAGCAGCACTTCCCAGGGCTCCTCTAAGCTCTTCAAAGTCAGAGAAATTATCATTCTTGCTGCTTTCTCACCAGTTTTTGCAAGGTTGTCATTTGTTTATTTCTTCTTTTGGAATTTGCTGATCATATCAAGAGTGATATAAATGTAAATGGCCCAATCCCATTTATAATTTCATCTGAAGAAAGACCTGTATGGTAGGAGGCAGTTTGCTAAAGTGACTGTATTTTAATTTCAGTCGTTCTGGTGTGCTTCCTGAGGCTTAGGATACCGGTGTGGGTTGGAGTCACCAGTACATGTCTTGTGTTCTCAGCCACAGTTCATTGGTCCCAGTGCAGCCATCACCCATGGCACTGGCTCACTGCCTAGCCTCTGTACAGCCCAGGCTTCCTCAGTCCACGTCCTTGGCCTGGGACTCATGGTTCCATGATTGATCCTGGTGACCCATGGCTCTGGATTATAAAACTATACTTTCTGAAACCTGCATTTGGCGAATCTCAGGATGAAATAAAACCAAATGGAAGAGAAAATCAAGGCTGATTTTCAGACTTTTAAGATAGCCCTCCTTTGTCCATTCTAGGTGTTTTTCCACAGCAGGAAAAGATGCAATTGAAGAGACGGTCTGTGTGTCTGTTCTCAAGCTCTGGCAAGCAGTGTGCTGCGGGAACGGTAAGCCTGGGTAATCACCACTGATCACCATTAATGCGCTGCGTGCAAGGGAGTCCGCTGTTGGGCTGACTGTCTTCCCCAAAGGCCAGGCCCTGGAGAGTTGATGTCTAGACTTCCCCACACACTCGCTCCCTCCAGGAAAGCTTATGGATCAAAAGCAAGGTAGACAGATGAGGGGTGAGGTCAATGAAGGGAGGAGGTTGTCAGCATAATGAGTGGCCTCCTCTCTCCTCTCCTCCTGCTCTTTGCAGACTCATGACTTCCGTTCGTGCACTGGCAATGAGGTAGATGGAGTTCTTCTTTTCTTGTCAGCCTAAAATATTGTTCCTTTTTGCTAACCACAGTACCTTTCCAGCATCCTGAGATTTATAGTCATCCCCGCCGGTATCTTCAGACACTAATTAGCGTCTAGTATTGACATAGTAGAATGCCACGGGCATTTTATTTACTGGGCTAACACTTAGGCTTTTTGCATATATGCATCTTTCAGGGTTCATTACATTTTTGTGTAATCTTTCTTAATCTCTTTTGTAACTTCAATGTAAATACAAATTTTAGTTACTTCTGTCATTTTTAAGAAGTGTGTTTCATAGGAAAAAGTTTGACGCTGGACAGAAACACTGAAAATGGGGATAATAGTAGCTATGTCTCCTTTTCACAGGGCGACTGTGGGGAGCCAGCGATAGAGCTTGTGAATGCAGTTTGTATACTCTGAGATGTTAAGTAGGAGATAGTGCCTTTTTTTTTCTTTTTTAGTAGAGTAGAGGAATCAAGAACTTAAGAAATTAAACTCTTGAAAATCTAGACAATTGGGGGGCCTATTTCCTGACAAGGATTAAGGGGAATTATGCCCAGACTACTATCATCATCAAGGTGCCTTGCTACCCTGTGTAAGACCCTGCACCAGCTTAGGGCAGTGTTTTTGCAAACTCCCTACAGGAGGGTGAGGAAGGCAGGACTTGGCGATGGTATGTCTACTCAGCGTGAACCTGACATAACAATCTATTTACTCTATTTCTGCGAACCTATTTATTGTTTCTGTGAACCTTACAGTTACATTTTTTTATCATCTGAAAAATATTTTCAGATACCTGTGATGTAAATGCTGTGTCTCAGGTCAATAAAATCTTGATATATCTAACTCAATAAATGCAAAGCAGTTTTTCAAAAGGGCAAGGGAATGCTTAAAAGTAAGGAAGTGGAAATATGTCAGTGATCTATTGTGGAGTGGGGAAGAGAAGCCAATTACAGGGTAGGTTGTATATTTTACACATTATTTATATGAGAGGTGAATAATACCTCCTTTGGGGAATGGGCTTACCTGGAGGGGTATCAACTAACTCTGTGTTGTTTGAATTATTTATATCAAGCTACTTTTCTAGTATAAGAAAAAAATATATAATCAACAAGGACCTTTTCATTTCAGAAATCAGTAGATCCTATCTTACATGGACAAGAGTAATTATAGGTGAAGTGTGGGACTGAAATGTAATGTTTGCAACGAAAACATGGTTTGATATGTGGGCTACACATAGGATCCTGCAGTCCTGTTACTCCGGCTCTTTCAGGGCAAGCAGAAACCTGGTGTGTGTCTTCTCCTGGATGCTGTGTGCTGTGTGTAAATGGGCAATTAGCACAGGATGGGAGAGAGCCTAGGGTAATGAGGTCCATGTGATGGGACCCACCCCTTTGAGAGCCAGTTTGCTCTGTTTCACAGCTTTGCCTCATACTGCAGTCTGTACCCTGCAGTTTCAAACAAATTCATGTACCTGGTCAGAAAATAAAGCAGATGAAAGGGGATAAATCTACTGCCACCACCGTGGAAGAGCTTATGTTCTAGGAAGGAGGGCACACTTTATTCTTTAATGCTCTCATGTGATATTTTAGTTTCCTGGATAACATTTCCTCAAATGACCACTCTAGCCATTGTGTGAATATTGGTGGTCTAAAGACATTCCACAATTAAACTGATTTATTTCCCTTTGGTAGTGTTTCCAGATACCACACACCAAGGAGGCTTGACAATAATAATGACATAGTTGATTTCTGGTTGCCAGTCCCTGTCTGGCACAGTCACGTACTGATTCATTTAATCCTCATGACGTCCCTGTAGGTAGGAACGTAATCCTCGTTTTACTGATGAGGAGACCAAGGAGCACTGGTAAGGTCACTCCCCTGGGCATTCAGACCCAGCAGTCTGGTTCTAGAATCCACACTCTTACACTTCATTATCCTGCCTTCAAATGAGTGGGCACCAGTTGAGTTTCCCGTTAGGAGAGAGGGCGACAGAGCTAGTTTAATTGCCGTGATGGCACGCATAAGACACACAACGCCTGTGTTTTGCAGAGGAAAATCAGCGTGTGCTAGTGATGCACCCTGACAGGGCCAGGCTGTTGGCCACCCTCTTGTCCTCCAAGGTCCTGGCCATCAGGCAGCAGAGCCTTGCCCTGCTGCTACAGCTCGCCCAGACTGAGAGCGGACGGAGCCTGATCATCAGCCACCTTGACCTGACCAGGTAAGCCTCTGCTGGCAGGATCTTCCTGGGACATTTCGTGTCATCACTTGACAAGTTCAGGTGTGCCTGTCTCCCCCTTATATCTCTGATGTGTGACTTGAAGGATCAGTAACAGAAAGAGCCTTTGACAAGAGTGCTCTGTCATGAGGACCTCTGAGACAGACTCCTGTCTGAACTTGCTACCATGGACAGTTTCACTTCTCCTGAGCAACTGGCTTGTCCCCATCCCATAAATGGTGCAAATGGCAGCCCTTCCATAGCCAGATCAGGAGCCCCACCTTAAAATAGGTTACTTGCTTCTGTGCCTTTGGCCTCGGTCCTATCTCTACCTTGTTCCTACCCTTCCTTTTCTTCTTTCATTCTTATTTGAGGTAATCCTATCTTATTCTATGTGTCCTTAAACCCTTTCTGGAACAAGATGCACTATGAATAAATAAAACATTTCGAATACTGTTAAATGGAGGTCTTTCCAAAGTGTAAGACTATGAGCATAGAATGTGTGTCCCCTGAGTAGACTTTCTAGAAAGATTACTGAACCACAGTGATTCCGCCCAGTTCTTTATAATTTATTACTTCATTTTTAAATTATTTATTTGTTATTTTGCTTACTTGTTTTACTTATTCATTTATTTACTTTTATTAAGTTTTCAGTTTATCTTTACATGATTAGTTTGAACATATGAAATTGTCACTTATTAGATCTAAAAGGTTGCATGCCCGCCATTTCGTGTGGTTCAATCTAACAGAAACAGTGGCGATTATTGTAACTTGCTTTATAAATGTTTCTCACACAATCTAAAAACAGGAGATTACCCTTCTGAGTTTTTTTGTTCACTGCTATTTTGTTTTATCTCCCCTCATGCTGCGAGGTAGGCAAGGTAAGCTTTATTACATCATGTCACTCATGGGGCAGGAAGAACTATAGCAAGGAACCACGGGAATCTCACCCAACTAGCCTAGCCCCCAGGTACTGTTCTGAGGACCCAGCTCCACTCTGTGTTCTCAGTAGGAAAAGGAGCCAGACCTGCTGCAGCTGGCTCCTGTTCCTTCCAGATCTTTTTAGGACCCTGCCGAGCCCTCCCACACGGTCCAATCTGGTGTGGAGGTCCATGTGTGCCGTGACAGGGTGGTTATTAAGCCTTGCCTACGGCTCCCCTTCCAGGCCCAGTCGCAGCCGCAGTGGCTCCCGGGAAAGGCTTTGGCAAGCCACTGAAGCTGAGGCTGCGCGGCAGATGCAGATTGTTAGTGGACTTAAATTCCCCAAAAGCACATTTCGCATTTCAAATGACTGCAGTCATTTCCTCAATACCTTCGTCGCATTTTTTTTAATATTGTTTTTGTCTCTTTGAGTAAATGTAGCTATAGCTATCATGGGCTTTTCCCCTCAAGCTATCTCTGAATTGCTTGAGTTTCAATGTGCATTTTTCCAGTGTCTCGCAGAGTGGCGTTCACGATCACCTCGTGTGGTCCTGCCTACTCTCTTTAGACAGTCAGAGAAACCTCAGCTTTTTACTTTTATGCCCACTAGCCTCCTTAACGTGCATCTCCAGTTGAACCAGACAAGAATGGGTTCTCTGTGATGAAATGAGGCAGTTTGAAGCAAGACAGGGCTGCGCATAGCCCCATGACCGTCACGGCAGCACACTTATCACATTCCTCCCACAATGCTTATCCTCAGAGAAGAGGTTGAAGGCATGAATGTGTGCTGGCCAAGGACCAGTGTCATTTTGTCAGAAGTGCTGGGTTTTAGTCTTAAGCAGTACTGAGCTTCAATTCCCTGCGTGTCTCTGCTTGTGTGACCCAGGCACTGACGGGCCCTGGCATCTCATCTGCATCACTCACTTACGATGACACTTACAGGGGGTGATGCAGTTGAATTTTTTCTGCTGCATTATGCAGAATACTTGAGCGAAAGGAGCTTAAGCAAAATAAAGCCTGGCTTGTTTTTTCACCTAATAAAATGAGACTAAAGATAGCAGCTGTTGGTGCAGGGGCTTAACGATGTCGAGGTCAAAGTCTGTGCCCTTCTCTTGACCTTCCTCACATGGTCATACCTTCGCTCTTGCTGCAACTCCAAGCTTCACATCCTTCTTTAAGACAGGTCAGCACCAGCTGGATCTGTCCCTTTTATCAAGAAAAGCTACTGCCTATTTCTCTTTGGACAGAATTTTGTCACATGCTACCCCTAGTGGAAAAAAAAAATGATCCCAGCTTCTTCTGTAGTAGAGTTAGGAAGAATAGAAGGGAATGGAGAATATCTGTGGGGTTAGCCAGCAAACAGCATCTGCTATAGAAAAAAAAAAAACAACAACAACTAACATCAAGCAAGCCTGACACATGGTATGACAGGGGCTCAATATTTTTATAATCATTTTCTCTTAGGGAATATTGTTCAGGGTCCCAAACTGAAGTAACCATGCATTTACTGGTTACATGAAAGCTTTTTCTGACCTGTGGTTCACTCACAGAGACAGTTGCTTATCAGCAGAGCAGAAAATCTGCCACCATAAAAGAGGGTATGTGAGGAAATAGAAAGGGATACACCGTCCTCTATAGGTGCTGAGTCCAGTTAGGATGTGTGCATTGTCACATAGAGAGGGGGGCTAGCTGTTTATGTCTCTCAGGACAAAGCCAAGATGGTCTTAGGCTATTGTCTCATCTGTGCTATTCAGGTTCATTAGCATTTATTTTCAAGACCGAAGAAAATAGGTTTAAATTGGTGAAGGAAGAATCTGAACTGACTGTAAAACAAATAAATTGTTTTTGACAGCAGGAACACTGGAATCCATTTCTGAAGATGTTAGGGATTTGTAGAAGCTCGGTGTCACCTGGACCCTCAGAAACCATCCAGTCAAGCCCCACTCAGCATAGATGTCCTCTGCATACCCCCATACAGCCTGTGCATCATGCCCTCCAGGGGAGATGCCAGCAGTTTTCATTATTTTTATCTCCATTTGATTCGGGATGGGCACTAACGCAGCTAATAGACTGGGTGGAGGAAGTCTGTCCCCAGTTAGTGAGAGGCGTGGGTCTCACCTCCCAAGGTAGCCAACTGTCCATTTCAGGACAGTTCTGATTGATATAAATTATCTCCTTATACTGTGCGTAAGTTGCCTGCCCCATACTATTCTGGGGTTGATTCTGCCTCCATACATTGAGGCCCAGGCCCAGACTCCTTCCAGCTTTCCAGTACTTTAGGTATCTGAAAATACTGATATATTTCAGGTTAAGCATCCTTGTTACCTCCATCATTCCTTTGATGATTTGGCCTCCAGACCACTCCTAGAATAAGTGGCTAAATAGATCCAGCACCATAGTTATGGGTGACTGGAGTTCATATTCCCAAAAGCCCAGTCTGATAGCCTGTCATCTGTCTTTCTTAAAGATGTCAAGGTCAAAGTCTTCACCCTTCTCTGTCCTGTGGCATTTGGTCCTATTGATCACTACTCTTCTTGAAACTCCACCACAGTGATTGTCAGGACACCATCCTTCCTGGCCCCCCTCCTACCTCCTGGCTATTCCTTTGTGGTTTCCTTTGCAAGCCCCCCTATGCTATCACCCTTCCAAGTCAGGGACCCTGGGATCCTACCCTTGTCCCTCTTCCCATCCATGGCTTTCATCAAGAAGCAAAGGGTGTAAGTCTCACTCTGCTGAGTGTGAGATGAAAATACCCTTCTGCTACTGGACATCTCTATCACAACATCCACAAGTATCAGTGACCTAATAAATCAAAACGTGGTCTCACACCAGTTCATCTACCTGAATTTCCTGTCTTCATAGAGGGTATCTCCGCCTATCCAGTCGCCTAAGCCAATGTCCTGGAAGTGACCTGGCTCTCCCTCACCACATCCATAAGATAGTATGCTGCCAGCTCTTTCTCCTTAGCATCTCCTGAATTCATTTTCTTCTAGTTCTCCTCTACTCTCTCCAGTCATTTCTTCCAGGTCTTCGTGAGCGTCTCTTTGTGTTTTTACGGTGCTTCTTACTCTGCTGCTACCTCAGCCTGGTCCCTTAGCCTTTATTGTCTGGATAATCACAGTTCTCCCCTGGTTGAATTCCTGCCTCCTGTACTACCTGCTCCAATCCAGCTTCCACCGTACACTGAAGGGATTTTTCTAAAATGCACATTTGTTCTGCTCTTTTCCTACTTAACTCACTGAAATAACTTCCTTGTAAGGCTGGTTCTCCAATTACTGAGAAATATAATGGCTAGGAATCACATGAGGACTTCATTACAAAGCAGCCTCCTGGAGCCTCCTCCCACTCAGACTGACTGAGGAATCTGTCCCGGAGACCCCCACCACCAACCACACATTGGAGAACAGTGGCCTACAGGGCAAAGTACAGACTTTCCAGCAGGCCCTAGAAGGCCGCCAGGATCTGGGCTCTGTCCAGCTCTCTACCGTCCCCTGTTTTCCCCTCACATCCTAAGTATTAACTGCATGCCAGCAGTCCCCAAATGTGCTCCTGCAATTCTATGCCCACGTAGTCTGTGACTGCAGGTGGCTTTGCCTGACATGCCACTGTACCCGTCCCCGTGGGCCCGACACTGGCCTGCAAGCTGCCTGGAACCAGGACATTTTCTTGTTTCATTGTTAGGACCCCAGAACCGACCACATTGCCTGGCACCCAGTCAGTGCTTGTTCATTGTGATTGGTCAAATGGATAAACGAATGAATAGCTAACACTATACTTCAAGAGACACTGAAGTGTCATCTATTGAAGGCTTCTTCACTTCCATCCCCACACCTCCCACCAGCGAGACTCTGGTCCCCTCAACATGTGTCTGTTTCTAACATATCACCTAAGACAGTTTATCTTATTTATTTACATATGTATCACTGTAGGAGACCAGGAGCTCAGTACTGAGCACAGTATACTTAGCACCTTGTAGATGCTTAATGCAAGTTTGCTGGATGAACAAATTCCTCTTACTTCCATTGTCGTGGTGCCAGTAAGTCCATTTGGGTAGCCTGAGATTGTATCAGGTGTTTTTGGCATCTGTGTTAGACTGTTTGCTCATTTTGTGTTTGTAAGTGGCTAAAAATCCTTAAATATTTCTCATATGAACCAGTTACAAACCAGGTCTCACAATTCTGTTACTTATGCAGAATTTCCAGCTCTAAGTGGAAGACTTTGAGCTTAACCCTATTAAATTTAATCTAATATATTCAGCAGCCTGTCACAATCTTGTTAAATCTTTATTCCATCACCCACCTTATTAGGGGGCCCTCCCACTTTAGTCATCAGCAGATTAGTAAGCATGCCATTTAGATGTCATCTAAGTTAATGAACTTGACTGAGCCAGAGTCACATGGCAGAGTCCCAGAAACTCCTTCTGAGCTGGCGTCCGATAATCAATAAACTTTGGTTAAAAGTATTCAGCATTCTGGGGATTCACATTAAGTGGTGGAGCCAGCCACTTAAGAGTGTCTGTTTCCGGGTGGGCAAGGAGCTAGGCTTCCTAGGAGGGCATGGCAAGGCACCCTTTCTGCTTATTTCACCCGGATGCTGACTGCTTTTTGGTTTCCTTGCAAGGTTACCCTGTTGGGATGTTGTTAGTTGGAGGACAGCTACCTCTGAGGTTACTATGGTTTTTTGCAGATTATTGGAAGCCCTGGTGTCATTTCTTGATTTCTCGGATAAGGAGGCCAACACTGCTATGGGACTGTTCACAGACTTGGCTCTGGAAGAAAGGTAATTTTTTTTATTTATAGAAATTGACATTTCTTCTTCAGTCTTTGTTGAACTGTCTGATCTTTAAAAATGTGCCGTATTCAGAGAGGCTAGGCCAAGTCTCCAAGTGAGTGTTGCAAGATTCACTGAGAAGGAGGGCTGATGCCTCCCAGGGGGCTGCGGCCACCCACTCCCATTCTAGTCACTCTGCCTAGAGGCTGACCTGGGCCTCCATGGGTTTGGAAGCAGCAGCATACTTAAAGCAGTGCCTCTCACAGTAGGCAAGCCTCCAGTGTATCGGGAACCTTCCTTCCTTCTAATCAGTGCCTGGTACGTAGGAGTTGCCCAGCAAATTCGCGTTGAATGAACCTGAGTGAGCCCGTGAGCCAGCAAGCAAGAATGAACAGTCAAATGCAGCCGCCTCTGGGGTTGCCAGTGACATCATGAGTAACGACCTCCTTCTGCCCCATGGCTTTGTGTTGTTTTGTCTTGTTTTGCCTGGCTGCTGGGGATGATAGTAAGGGTCTTAGTTTTCATAATTTTTCAAGAGCTTTTTTTTAAAGTGCATCTTGTGTTTTAAATTTCCTTACAAATTTTAGGACACCTTGCTTAAAGATGGTAATGGGATGAGAGAGCTGCTTGTGCTCACAGGCAGGCCAGCCAGCTGGCACGGGCTGGGGTATGGAACAGTGGCTGTAGCGTGTGGAGATGCACATGCATCCAGGCCCTCCCAGTGGCTCCGATGGGTAAACATGCTTGCACGGTATTTGCCTTCCGCACAGCACACACATGCTGTAGACTCAGAGCAGGGGTTGGGGGTGAGTCAGCTTGGCAGAAGCCTAGAGATTGCAGCAACCCCTGCTTAAGGGAGCCACCATCTGAGATCTGTTGTTTAACATCAAAGGCAATTCTCCAGACTCAGAAAAATTAAAGCCACATTACATACATAGTGACATGTTGTTTTCTGTTTTTGTTTCTGAATTCTCCATGCACAGTCTAAATCATATGGACCTAGAGTTTGCAACATTAATTATCTGAGACACTGTATTTATGTTACAGTTTATGCAATGTAAAAATAAATCCTGGCTGATGGTTTCTCGACAGATTCCAAGTCTGGTTCCAGGCCAACCTTCCAGGTGTTCTCCCTGCACTCACAGGCGTTCTGGTGAGCAAACCCTCATTTTCACCCTCTGTGACAGACACTCTCAGCAGCGTGAATGGGGCTGTTTAAACACAGTTTACAATCCAGAACAACTATGGTCTCTCGGTTGAGTAGTCATTTATTCACAGCTGGAATTTACACAATTGTCAGTTATTGAAACAGCTACAATAGGGACAGGTGGAGGTGGCATATGGATGGCGCTGGTTACAGGGGAGGAAAAGCTGGATATGGGTGGCATCTTAAGTGAAGGTGGATAGAGTTCATCAGTCTCCATCAGTCCCCTGCTGACAATAAGTTCGATGTGCAACGCTGTTCCCAAATGGAAGTCATCCTGTCAGGAAGACTAGTATAGCAATTTGAGCTGATAAGGCAGTGAATAGTGTCGGGGGCAGGGCTTCTCCTTGGAGAGTGTGTTGCAACTGCAGCCTGTCCCTATTGAACCTTAGAAGTTTCAGGGGCCCTTAGAGAGCATAACCACACCCCAGCATGCCACAGCTGTGGAAATGAGCCTCTAAGAAGGGAAGGGATTTGCCCAGGTCCTCCCAGCTGGTTGATGGAGGAGCTGGGATTAAGCCCTAGGCCAAGACCCTTTTGGGTCTACCCCTCTATGTGCCTCCATCCTGTTGCCAGTGTGACCCCAGGGATGCCCCTGTGTGACATGAAGCTATCTGGTTGGTTCGTGGGCCTTTCGGTGAGTGGGGAATTCACCAAGAGATCATGCGGCATCCTTTGCCTGCTCTCTGAGGCTCTGCCTTCTTTCGATTCTCATTTAGAAGACAGATCCCAAGGTAAGCAGCTCCTCAGCTCTGTGCCAGTGCATTGCCATCATGGGAAACCTCAGTGCTGAGCCTGCCACCCGAAGACACATGGCGGCCTGTGAGGAATTTGGGGATGGCTGCTTGAGCCTCCTGGTATGTTAGCTTTTCTATTCATAATTGGTCTTTATCCTCTTCGGGGGCATTAGCTGCTGCTTAGTTATCTGGCTTTTCCAGAAATTCTGTTTCTGTGAGTGCTGGATGGCGCCAGTGGCTTCTCCCTTCTGTTACCTCGGATTTTATGCGCTGCTGGCCTTAAAGAGCCCCCCAGATCAAGTCTCATTCGCCCTGGGGAGATTTGAAGGATTTTCTTTGTTAATTTTTAAAAATGATTTATTTATTTGTTTATTTGTTATTTAACTTTTAAGTTCAGGAGTACACGTGCAGGTTTCTTATATAAGTAAACTTGTGTCATGGGAGTTCGTTGTACAGATTATTTCGTTACCCAGGTATTAAGCCTAGTACCAGTTATTTATTTTTCCTCATCCTCTCCCCCTTCCTCCCACCCTCCACCTTCTGGCAGGCCCCAGTGTGTATTGTTCCCCTATGTGTGTCCACGTGTTCTCATCTTTTAGCTCCCACTTATAGGGAAGAACATGTAGTACTTAGTTTTCTGTTCCTGCATTAATTTGCAAGGGATAATAGCCTCTAGCTCCACCCATGTTCCTGCTAAGGACATAATCTCATTCTTTTTTATGACTTAATGGTATTCCATGGTGTATATGTACCACATTTTCTTTATCCAGTCTATCATTGATGGGCATTGAGGTTGATTCCATGTCTTTGCTATTGTAAATAGTGCTGCAGTGAACATATATGTGCATGTGTCTTTATAATAAAAATACTTCTATTCCTTTGGGTATATACTCATTAATGGGATTGCTGGGTCAAATGGTATCTCTGTTTTAGGTCTTTGAGGAATAGCCACACTGTCTTCCACAATGGTTGAACTACTTGATGCTCCCACCAACAGTGTATAAGTGTACCTTTTTCTCTGCAGCCTTGCCAGCATCTGTTATTTTTTGACTTTTTAATAATTGCCATTCTGACTGGTGTGAGATGGTATCTTATGGTTTTGATTTGCATTTCACTAATGATATCAGTGACACTGAACTTTTTTTCATGTGCTTGTTGGCCATCTGTATGTCTTCTTTTGAAAAGTATCTCTTCATGTCCTTTGCCCACTTTTTAGTGGGGTAGTTTATTTTTCTCTTGTACATTTGTTTAAATTCTTTATAGATGCTGGATATTAGACCCTTGTCAGATGCATGGTTTGCAAAAACTTTCTCCCATTCTATAGGTTGTCTGTTCACTCTGTTGATAATTTCGTTTGCGGTGCAGAAGCTCTTTAATTAGATCCCATTTGTCAGTTTTTGCTTTGGTTGAGATTGCTTTTGGTGTCTTTGTCATGAAATCTTTGCTCGTTCCTGTGTGTAGAATGGTATTACCTAGGTTATCTTCCAGGGTTTTTATAGTTTTGGATTTTATATTGAAGTCTTTATTCCATCTTGAGTTAATGTTTGTATATTGCATAAGGAAGGGGTCCAGTTTCAATCTTCTGCATATGACTAGCCAGTTATCCCAGCATCATTTATTAAATAGGGAATCCTTTCCCCATTGCTTGTTTTTATCAGGTTTATTGAAGATCAGATAGTTTTAGGTATGCGGTCTTATTTCTGGGTTCTTTATTCTGTTCCATTGGTCTATGTATCTCTTTTTATACCAGTACCATGCTGTTTTGGTTACTGTCGCCCTGTAAGTATAGTTTGAAGTCGGGTAACGTGATGCCTCCAGCTTTGTTCTTTTTGCTTAGGATTGCCTTGGCTATTCGGGCTTCTTTTTGGTTCCATATGAATTTTAAAATAGTTTTTTCTAGTTCTGTGAAGAATGTCAATGGTAGTTTAATAGGAATTGCATTGAATCTATATATTACTTTAGGCAGTATGGCCATTTTAACAATATTGATTCTTCCTGTCCATGAGCACAGAACGTTTTTCCATTTGTTTGTGTCATCTCTGATTTCTTTGAGCTGTGTTTTGTAGTTCTTCTTGTGGAGATCTTTCACTTCCCTGGTTAACTTTATTCCTAGGTATTTTCTTTTGGTGGCAATTGTAAATGGGATTGTATTTCTGATTTGGCTCTTGGTTTGACTGTTGTTGGTGTATAAGAATGCTAGTGACTTTTGTATGTTGATTTTATATCCTGAGACATTGCTGAAGTTGTTAATTAGCTTCAGGAGCTTTTGGGCCAAGACTGTGGTTTTTTCTAGATACAGGATCATGCCGTCTATAAACAGAGGTAGTTTGACTTTTTTTCTTCCTATATAGATGCCCTTTATTTTCTCTCTTGCCTGATTGCCATGGCCAGGACTTCTAATGCTATGTTGAATAGGAGTGGTGGGAGAGGGCATCCTTGTCTTGTGCTGGTTTTCATGGGGAGTGCTTCCTGCTTTTGCCCGTACGTATGATGTTGGCCATGGGTCTGTCATAGATGGCTCTTATTACTTTGAAGTATGTTCCTTTAGTACCTAGTTTATTGAGAGTTTTTAACATGAAGAGGTGTTGAATTTTATCAAAAGCCTCTTCTGCATCTATTGAGATAATCACATGGTTTTTGTTCTTAGTTCTGTTTATGTGATGAATCACATTTACCTATTTGCATGTGTTGAACCAACCTTGCATCCCAGAGATAAAGCCTACTTCACTGTGAGGGATAAGCTTTTTGATGTGCTGCTGGATTTGGTCTGCCAGTATTTTGTTGAGGATTTCTGCGTCAGTGTTAATCAAGAATATTGGCCTGAAGTTTTCTCTTTTTTGTTGTGTCTCTGCCAGGTTTTTGAATCAGGACGATGCTGGTCTCATAGAATGAGTTAGGAAGGAGTCCCTCTTCCTTGATATTTTAGAATAGTTTTAGCAGGAATAGTCCCACTTCTTCTTTGCACATCTGGTAGAATTCAGCTGTGAATCCAGCTGATCCTGGGCTTTTGTTAGTTGGTAGGCTATTTATTACTGACTCAATTTCAGAGCTCATTATTGGTTTGTTCAGGGATTCAATTTTTTCCTGGTTCAGCCTTTGGATGGTGTATGTGTCCAGAAATTTATTCATTTCTTCTCAATTTTCTGGTTTATGGGCAGAGAGGTGTTCATAGTATTCTCTGATGGTTGTTTGTATTTCTGTGGGGTCAGTGGTGATATCCCCCTTGTTGTTTCTGATTGTGTCTATTTGCATTTTCTGTCTTTCCATTTTTTTTAGTCTAACTAGTGGTCTACCTATTTTATTAATTTTTTCAAGAAACCAGCTTTAGAATTTATTGATCTTTGGAATGGGTTTTTGTGTCTCAGTCTCCTTCAGTTCAACTCTGATTTTGGTTATTTCTTGTCTTCTGCTAGCTTTGGGATTTGTTTGCTCTTAGTTCTCTAGTTGTTTTAGTTGTCATGGTAGGTTGTTAACATGAGATATTTCTAACTTTTAATTAGGAATATCTGTTAGGGCATTTAGTGTTATAAATTTCCCTCTTAACACTATCTTACCTGTGTCCCAGAGATTCTGGTATGTTGTATCTTTGTTCACATTAGTTTCAAAGAACTTGTTGATTTCTGCCTTAATTGGTTTATTTGCCCAAAAGTCATTCTGGATCAAGTTATTCAATTTCCATGTTGTTATACAGTTTTGAGTTCATTTCTTAGTCTTAATTTCCAATCTGAGTGTTAAGGTTTCAGTTATTTTGCATTTGCTAAGGACTGTTTTACTTCCAAATATGATTGATTTTAGAGTATGCACTATGTGGCAATGAGAAAAATGTATTTTCTGTTGTTTTCATTTTGAGAAATCTGTGTATGTACATCAGGCCCATTTGATCCAGTGCTAAGTTCAGGTCCTGAATATCTTCATTGATTTTCTACGTCAATGATCTAATATTGCCAGTGGGGTGGTAAAGTCTCCTGCTATTATTGAGTGTCAGACTAAGTCTCTTTGAAGGTGTCTGAGAACTTGCTTTATGAATCTGGATGTTTCTGTGTTTGGTGCATAAATATTTAGGATAGTTAGATCTTCTTGTTCAATTGAACCCTTTACCAATATGTGTAATGCCCTTCTTTGTCTTTTTTGGTCTTTGTTGGTTTAAAGCCTGTTTCATCTAAAACTAACAAGATTGCAACCCCTGCTTTTTTGTTTTCCATTTGCTTGGTAGATTTTTCTCCAACCTGTTATTTTGCCTATGTGTGTCATTGCTTGTGAGATGGGTCTCTTGAAGACAGCATACCAGTGGATCTTGATTCTTTATCCAACTTGCCACACTGTGTCTTGGGACATTTGGCCTATTTACATTCAAGGTTAGTATTTCTGTGTGTAGATTTGATCCTGTCATCATGATGTTAGATGGTTATTTTGCTGACTTATTTATGTGGTTGCTTTATAGTGACACTGGTCTGTGTACTTCAATGTGTGTTTGTAGAAGCTGGTAATGGTCTTTCCTTTCCATATTTAGTGCTTTCTTCAGGAGGTCTTGCACTACAGGTCTGGTGGTAATGAATTTCCTCACCATTTGCTTATTTTTCCTTTACTTATGAAGTTTAATTTGGCTAGAAATGAAATTCTGGGTTGGAATTTATTTTCTATAAGAATGTTGAATATTGGCCTCCAGTCTCTTCTGGGTTGTAGAGTTTCTGCTGAGAAGTCTGCTGTTAGTCTGATGGGCTTTCCTTTGTAAGTGACCTGACCTTTCTCTCTAGTTGCCTTTAATATTTTTTCTTTCATTTTGACCTTGGATAATTTGATGATTCTGTGTCTTGGAGGTGATCTTCTTAATGACGTATCTTACTGGGGTTCTCTGCATTTCCCAAATTTGAGTGTTGGCCTCTCTATCTAGGTTGGGGAAGTTCTCATGGATGATATCCTGAAATATGTTTTCCAAATTGGTTCCATTCTTCTCATCTCTTTCAGGGACACCAATTAAATGTAGATTGGGGCTCTTTACATAATTCTGTATTTCTCAGAGGTTTTGCGTGTTCCTTTTTATTATTTTTTTTATCTATTCTTGCCTGACTGTCTTATTTCAGAAAGCCTGTCTTCAGGCTCTGAGATTCTTTCCTCTGATTGGTCTATTCTGCTATTAACACTTGTGATTGCATTATGGAATTCTAGTAGTATGGTTTTTCAGCTCTACCAGGTTGGTTATGTTCTTTTCTGTATTGACCATTTTGTCTGTCAGCTCCTTCATTGTTTTATTATGATTTTTGGCTTTCGTGATGTGGGTTTCAATGCACTCCTGTAGCTCAGTGAACTTCATTCCTATTCATATTCTGAATTCTATTTGTGTCATTTCAGCCATGTCAGCCTGGTTTAGACCCTTTCTGGAGGGGTGTTGTGGTTGTTTGAAGGAAAGAAGGCATCTGGATTTTTGAATTATCAGGTTTATCATGTGGATTCTTTCTTACCTTTGTTGATTTCTCTACTGTCAATCGTTGAGATTGCTGACCTTTGGATAAATTTGTTTCTTTTATCTTATTTGATGACCTTGAGGGTTTTATTGTGGTATAAGGTGGATTCAGCTGAGTGGCTTTATTTCTAGAAGATTTTAGGGGGTCAGTATTCAGCTCCCAATTTCTGGACTGGATGCTCTAAGTCTCAGGGACTTGTATTGGGCCTTAACTTTGTTTTCTGGCTCCTCTAGGTTAAGAATACACTGCAATGGGGGAGCCAAGGTGATCCCAAACCTCTGGTCACTACACTCCAATGGATGGTGTTAGCCCAAGAATTTCATAATGTGGTGATAATGGGACCTTAACTTGTTCACGCATGCCAACAGCAGCGGAAGACCTGTGGCAGGGTGCTAGCAGGTGTCAGGGTGCCTGCCTCCCTGCAGGTGTTTGCCACAATGGCAGAGGCAACACAGCTGGGGGAGAGGGTCCCTGCTGATGACTGTGTGTGTGGTCATGCTGAAGATTGTGCCTTCTCTGTGCCTCGCAAGCAGAGGAGGTTGCTCCTAGAGGGACAAAGATCCACTGTACTCTATGCCATGCTAGCACAAGGGCAAGTTGCTGGTAGGGGTGGGGCTGGCTGGCTCTATGCCCATCAATACTCCATCTACAGTGGTGGTCAGTGGGAAGAGGAGGGGCAGGACTGCACTCCCATGCTCTGGCAGGGCAAGGAAAGCAAAACCTGCCTGATCAGACACTCACCAGCAAAGTGATGTGGGGAGTTGCCTTGGGCCCAGGGGAAGCTGTGCTGTAGAGAGGGAGCATGTGGGCTGGTGCATGGTGATAGGGGTACCCTGCTGGTGCTCTCCACTGGTCAGGCATGGTCTGCCAGTGCAGAAGCTATGGTGTGGGCCCCCAGGGCCCCCGAGACTGCTCAGCAAGCAGGTGTGACCAGGCTGGGGCCCCAGGAGAGTCCAGCAGAGCAAGGGGTCCTCAAGTTGGACTGGCCCTGTTTGATGGGCAAGACCACCCTGCAGAGTTCAGGTCTGACGATTTCCCGAGGGCTAAAGTCTCCTATGGGACTTATTTGAGCCTAGGGAAATGGCTGTCCCTGGCCATGCTCCACTATAGATGCTTCCACACCCAACCCTCTGGGTTCCACATCAACTGGCTTGCCACCCCTACCACTTCTCTAAGCAGCTCTCCCTGACAACTCACTGAGTGTCTGTGGTGGTCAAGGGGATTTCTCCTGCCGGGGTTCCAGAGGACTATGATGAGATTAGGTTGCTCTTTGCCACTTCAATTCACCCATTCCTCAAGAGCCTTTGGGGGCCAAGAACAAGCCTTGGTACATAGGAGCCCCATGCAGGGTTCCCGGTTACTTCCCTCCGCCCCGTTTCTGCATCTTTCCTCCATCTACTCTCAGCGTCTTCCCTTTGAAGATCTGTTAGGAGCATGTCAGTCATCTCTCTTCCTCAGTGGGAGCTGTTCCACCTGGCTGCATCTAGTCGGCCATCTTGGCTGATCCTGATTTGAAGGATTTTTCTGATGGAGTTGAATGATCACCCGTCTCAGCAGCTCACTCTTCACTTTCAACCCAGGGCCAACCTGATCCATAGTCCCATGGCAGAGGCATCAGAGACTCCTTCCAAGTCTCCTGGACCAACACTAACTCATGGAACTGGTCTCTGATCCTCCAAAACCGTTTAGGTTCATGACATTGGCAATTTATGAGTTGGCAATTAGGGAGTATGGGAACTCTGAGACACTAGTCCAAGGGAAAAGATGACCATAAAAAGCTGTAAGGCAGAAAGGTCATTGGTTACCTTGTTTTGTTTTCCAAGGCCAGATGTGAAGAGAATGTGGACCTGTTCAGAGAGGTTATCTACACACTCCTGGGACTCATGATGAACCTGTGTCTTCAGGCTCCCTTTGTCTCTGAGGTATGGCGTTCTTGTCTCCCTGTCTGGAAGCCTGGGACAACCTGTACACATTCTGTGGCATAAAACCATTCTCGTGTTCACGAAGAGACAGAAGCATGTACACTCACACGCTGGCCGTGGAATGGGAAAAGGCTGGAGGGATGCACTCTCCCTTTGCTCTGCTGAGGGGTGGATGCATCACTCAGTCATGTATTCACTCAGAAAACAGACTGGGTATCCAAAGTGTGCTGAGCAGAGTATGAGGTGCTGTGTTTACAAAGTCAAGTGAAAGGTGGTTCCTGCTATCAGGGTAATACCCTGGAGTTAGGGGAGACAGACATGGGGAGGAATAAGAGCAGTAAAAGATGGTGTTGTGAGGGAACCTGGGCACAGTGCCGTGGTGCTAAAAAGGAGAGGGTGCTCAGAAGAAGCTCCGCTGAGAATTCAGATTGTCAGAAAATTAAAATCTCCTGCTGGCCTCTCCCCATTGTTGTAGGTTTGGGCTGTGGAGGTGAGCAGAAGGTGCCTGTCTTTACTAAACAGCCAGGATGGAGGAATCCTGACAGTAAGTTTCTCCCAGGGAAATCCAGAAGCAACTTTCACTGTTCTTGTTTTGTTTTGTTTTGTTTTGTTACCAGTGTAATCTTTTTCAAGTTGCCACCTTTGAGAATCTGCTGAGTCTCTGAGATACGGTATGGATATACTATTCGAATAATGCACACAAGCACATAAACACCAAGTTTTGTCTGCAGTTTCAGGAATTTGGTGACCTCCTTGCCATATCCGTCATCTGTGGATCCCCTAGAGTCCAGGAACCCAACTTAAGAATCCCCCTTCCATTTGGTCTGAAATTTGACCAGCTTAGAGGATATAATCGATCTGATTTGTCCTATTTCAAAATATCCTGTGCAAATTGGACAGATCAAGTGTCCAACTTATTTAGAATCCCTTTTTTCCATAGGAAAAAATAAAAAGCCAGGCCCGTATTTTAAGCCAGTGATCCTAGAGGTTGTTTGTGCATAATAGTTTTAGCCTCTTTTTAAAATATATGCTGAAATGGCTTTCTCAATTCTGTGTCTGACATTTGAATAAGAAAACTGAGAAAGCCCTATATGTCAGCACAGTGCATCAGGAAAAGAATTTAGTATGATTCAAGAGGCTGTTTGCCATCACCCTAGAAAGTGTTCTTCACTCACGTTAAGTGATCACCCCTGTTTTTCTCCCTGTCAGGGCAGGGCCCTAATGCCTAGAGAAGCAATCAGGGCCACATCTAGGGTGGATCTGGGAAACCAGCCTTTCAAGGGTTGCAGACTGAGGACTGGCTCCACAGTTTAAAAAAGGTTCTGAGTAGATCCAACATACCCTGTTTGGGGGTAGCACTCTCTAAACGTCCCCAAAGTCAATTCAGACAGGATAGGGTGAAGGTTTTGTGCGTGTGCATTTTCATGGATGGGGCATCATAGCTTTCATCAGATCCTCAAAAGAGGTCCCTGACCCCCAAAGTGGTAAGCACCACCGTTCTCAGATAGTCCAGACCTAAAGATAGGCCTACACTAATCCCTGAGTGTAGGGATTTAGGAGCTCTTGGGCCAGATTTCTCCAGCATTCTGTGTGTGCCACATTGGGTGCTTCCCAGCTTGCTGGGCAGCAGCTTCACCATGGGCATCTGGTCCTAGTCTAGCACAGTCTCCACTGTCCTGGGCCTGAAAGGGGATCTGTGGTGTCAACTGTAGCAAAATTCTAGGATCTTTAGGAAGCAGATTAGGGAAGCAAGATTGATAATACACAAGTTTATCTTTTCTCCCTCTGGAGTCCTCATTAAAATGAGATTAAAGCCATTGCGGTGAACAAAAAAAGTAGAGACCTACATTGACGGTGAACAGGCAATGGTTATCAATAGGTAAGTAATTTTAACAAGTTTCCTGAAGATGGAGAGCAGCTGCTAGGGTGGTAATTAATGAGGCAGGGCTGAGGACACCTTCGTATAGAGTACAGACGGAGGAACACATAGCTGGTCAGTAGCAGATTTGCCTTATAATGAAAGGATCAAGATTTCAGAACTCCTGATACAACAGAGAGCAGAGGTACAGGCAGTGGAGCTGCGTTTGCTGGCAGGCATCTATCCTCCAGGCATAAAATCAGAACACTTTCATCTTTAAAGAACTGAAACTGGAGAAAACATTTTTCTTTCTGGTATATGAGAGTGCCACCTCTCTACCTTTCCATACTTCCCATAAACATAGCATACCCAAACATATTTTATTGCTTTTTTCGTACATGTGCTTGGGCAGGTAAGAGTCAACCAGACATTGCAGGAAAGCCACACACATAAATAGGAAAACCAAGATAAACATAAAAATTGATCCAAAAGAAATAGAGATCATACAGGAAACAGAGGAAAAAAATAGTAACTATCATTTGTATCCTGAGAAAGATTAAAGATAGTTATATCCATAAAAGAGTAACAGCTTGCCATTTATTTAAAAAAAAAAAAAGAGAGAAAGAGCTGGGAAATAAAGTAAATGAACTATCCCAGAAACTAGAACAAAAGACAGAGGAAAAGATAAAGATAAATGACACAGAAGACCAATCCAGGAAATCAAACATCCCCTAATAAAGGGCCTGTTGATATCAGAGCTCTGGGAGGAATCACAAGGGAGAACTTCCTTTCTCAGAGTTGAACTGGTTGATCCTGTGTGAAGCTGAAATAATGTGGGCCTCTGGGTGGCAAGGGGTTATGGCTGCAGCTCCGCGACAGTTTTATTAAAAAGAACAGTGCTTGCTATTATTTGGCCATCCTATTTTTTATATTTTGCTTCCAATGTTAATGATTGATTTTGCCTCACCAAACTTCCTGTTAACTTTTAAAGGTTGTCAGCATTTCTGAAAAGGACATTTAATTATCCTCTTTCTGCTGTATTCAGAGAGCTGCTGGTGTTCTGAGCCGGACCCTTTCTTCCTCTCTGAAAATTGTTGAGGAGGCCTTGCAAGCAGGAGTGGTAAAGAAAATGATGAAATTCCTGAAGGTAAGATCACTTTATTGGTTACAACCCTGAAATGTACAGAAGTCTCCTATTTTATTCGGGGAACAGAATTAAGGCGGGTTTTGTTTGGTTAATGTGCTGCCATTTCTTCCTTGCTAGATTTTAAACTTCTTGGATAGGGGTTTGCTTCTGCCTGTCTATCCAGACCATACTCTGAACATCAATAACAGATCGTTCAATAAATAAGAAAATTGTTCATTAGATACATCTGTAACACTTTGGGAGGCTGAGGCAGGCGGATCATGAGGTCAGGAGATCAAGACCATCCTGGCTAACATGGTGAAACCCCGTCTCTACTAAAAATACAAAAAAATTAGCCAGGCGTGGTGGGAGGAACCTGTGGTCCCAACTACTTGGGAGGCTGAGGCAGGAGAATGGCATGAACCCGGGAGGCAGAGCTTGCAGTGAGCTGGGATCGTGCCACTGCACTCTGGGCGACAGAGCAAGACTCCATCTCAAAAAAAAAAAAAAAAAGACTGCTTACCCCTCAAGCCTGACTTTAAATATATATATGGCCTCTGTTCTTGATAAACATGATCTGAGTGGGTTTCAGGTACATTGTTTTGCTCAGGTTTTGCTACTCATCTATGAGACATGTAGCCTGCAGAATTACCATGTGACCAAAGGATATTGGGATTTCCCTGTGAAATGAGTGCGGTGAATCTAAGCAAGCCGGTAGAGCAGCTATCTGGATTCACCTGCAAGGGTGAAGGAGATTATTATATTAGGTTGCCATCTCAGAATCCCACCTATGATGTGTGTGCCCATGAGGTCCACACCCCCATGTTGGTGTGGTGACACATGGCTTTTATTCATAAAGCCTCAGGCTGAGTGGGGCAGGGAAGCATGCTCTGTGGGCTACTGCTGGGGCAGGGGTAACACCGAGGGGGCAGCACAGGGGGTCTTAAGTTTAGGCTGCCACTTGAACAATGACCGTCATTCATTATGACTTTTGCAAACCCACCAAAAGCTCCTGATGGCATGCATACCTATGCATCATGCATGCATACATGCACACATGCCTTTTAAAGACCCCACGTGGGAGATTGCAAGGGCGGTGTTTGACAGTTGTCGCCTCTTAAAATGATCTAGGTTCCTGAGGTTCCTCATGCAGGACTGTCAGCCTAACAGCCTTGGCAAGTCAGTCCTCATTCTCAAATGGGAAAATGATATGGGAGGGCCTTTTCCTCCCTTTTTGGTAGGTCTGTCATTCATCAGCATCATTCTCTTCTCAGCCACTTGCTCATAAAGCCTTCTGGAGGCAATTACTCAGGTGTACATGACAGGCGTACATTCCTGTCAGGGGTGTGGGCTGGGTTAGAGAGGATGCGGGTGACACTCTGTTCCAGCAGGAACCATGCCTGCTCACCGGGAAGCATATGCCGTTCTCCATAGAATTCTCTTTTCAGAGTTTAGGAAGCCACTGGCACTATAATAACTGCTCGCTGTGGTTTGTGGCCAGGAGCAATCATAGCACTGATTATATTTTTCTGATTTCATTCTGAAATCTAGACAGGAGGCGAGACTGCATCACGTTATGCTGTAAAGATACTAGCTATCTGCACGAATAGTTACCACGAAGCTCGGGAAGAAGTAATAAGACTGGATAAAAGTAAGTGATGATTTCCTTAAGGGAGCCCTCATCCCAGAGGTTCATCCACCCTTGAAGCTGCAAAGGGAACTGTGGTCGAGGAGGAACGTAGCAGCAGTGCTGTTAACCTCTCCCAGGCTTCAGCAATGTTTATGGAAGATGTTTCACGTCAGATCTGAAAGCATTTAATTAGCCTTTTGGTTGCACACAGGTAGGATACCCAGACTGGAGACCCAGCTGACAGACAGCTCAAAGATAACAGGGGCAAAGCTAGGAAACTCCCTCCTCTCAGCAAGTTCAGTTCTCTGCCTTCACAGAAGGAGGGGGGAAAACACCTTCAACATTTAGTGAACAAGGGAAATACCAGAGTCTGAGCCCAGCTTTAGTCCAGTAACTTAAACCGGCTGTAGTTATTCACAGCAGGCTTCCCAGGAGAGGCAGCCTGCTAATGTTGTTCTTACCAACTCCCTGGAGTGCGCAGAAGGTGAACTAAAGGAGGCTCCACCGTGGAATCTGGAGCCTTTCTCCTGGATCCTGTTTCATACCCTGCAGGTTTGGTTGCCAGCACGTTGCCTCCCACCTGGGGGCTGTCAGATGGGACCGCTCACCCTGGTGCAGTGAGAGGTTAAGAACAGGGGCTTTCAGGAGGACAGACCTATTTGACACATAGCGTTCATTCATCTAACAACTGTGTTGTGCTGGACACTGTCCTGGGAAGCCGAGATACTTCAGAGATTCAGCAAGGAGTTGAGGAGGTTCATATGCATTCAGTGAATGTTTGCTGATGAGTGAGTGAACAAGTTCTGCTGCAGAGTTATTGGGGAAGCTCGTTGTCCATGGACACCTCCCTGTGCCCCTCATGTCCTGTTGCCAGCCTCCTATTTGGGGATTAAAAGGAGCTGTTGCTTGTTCTCTTCCTTCCCTGCAGAGTTGAGCATGATGATGAAGCTGCTCAGCTCGGAGGATGAGGTTCTGGTGGGCAACGCTGCCCTCTGCCTTGGTAACTGCATGGAGGTGCCCAACGTTGCGTCTTCCCTGCTAAAGACAGACCTCCTGCAGGTCCTGTTAAGGCTCGCAGGCAGTGACACACAGAAGACGGCCGTGCAGGTGAACGCAGGCATTGCTCTGGGGAAGCTGTGCACAGCTGAGCCCAGGTATGCTGTGGACACGGAGCCAGGCTGACCCAGCGTCGGTCCCATTGCAGAAAGCAGCTGAGCTGAGGCGCTGACTTTTGGCTGGGACTGTGTGCCTCACAGGATGCTGTGGGAAGCCCTCATGCTTTCTGTGCAGACCTAGGTTAAGCCCAATAGCTGCTTCTCTGAAGAAAGCCTTTCTAGAGGAAACGGGAGCTCTTGGGCTCCGACCAGAGAGGGAATCAGCTTGTCTGATGGGGACTTGCTGCTCACACTTGCTGCCGTTGCCTTCTCTCCATTCCATTTTCTGCTGTTCTGCATCCCTCTCCCTGTCTCTTTATCCTCCTTCTCCCCCACCCCACTCCACCTCCCCTTCTCTTCCCTCTTTTCTCTCTTCTCTACTTTTCCAGAAACAGACCCCCACTTCATGTTCTTTGTCTCAGCCTAAACAAATGGAGGAATGGCCAGCGAGGGTCACATGTTCACGCAGGAGGAAACAGTGGAGAAGCAGAGACGCAGAACAGCACGTCGAGGCCCCCAGTGAGCGAGGGCAAGAGATGTGGGCTGTAACTGTGCCCATGGCTTCTCTGTTAAGCTCAGACCTCCACTCTGCTCTGCTCCTGTTCTGATGTGCAGATGCACCTCGTTGCACGTGCTTCTGGGGGGTGTCCACCTGTGGCTGAGCGAAGGAGCCCTGGCACAGGGCAGGGGTAACCCCAGGAACTGAGTGAGAGAGGCTCCTTCCCTTACATCCACATGCCTTTAATTCCTCCTCTGTAGATTGAGGGGGTTGGCCTCGATAATATCTAAGGTCCTTTCAAGTTCTGTCTGGTTGTTCAAATGGAAGGAATAGTTAAAATCTTTCTTCTATAGAAAGCAAGCACATTAGCTAGGATGACTTCAAAGTGGCAACCTATGGGGGAGTTCTCGAGAGCAAGGTCCCGTCTGATCAGCCTGACACACCTGCGACCTGCAGCAAGTGTTTTCAGTGCTTTGTGGGCCTCCCTGAGGGTCTGTCTTACCCCTGTGATCTTTAGGGTACCCCAGTGCCACAGCCACTTCCTGTTTCCACCCAGCGATAGGACTGACGTTCTCAGCCAGCTTCCATCTGAGAGGGTGTTGGCTCTGGGCTCCAGAAGCCTGAACCGTGGCACTTATGTCCTGGGTTGTTTGTTTTGATTGTGACAGGTTTGCTGCTCAACTGAGAAAGCTTCATGGCCTAGAAATTCTCAACTCTACAATGAAATACATCAGTGATTCTTGAGAGATACGGTGTCTGTGTGCATTTAGGGAACACACGAATGCACACTACGGGTTGCTCCTATGCTAATAAAGACCTTTGATATATCCACTTCAGAATCAAATATTCATTGTCAGAGTGTTTGCATGTTGGGTTTTCATGGATAACAAGAGAGTGGGCCTTAGGCTGGCTGCTATGGTGGACTCTGTGTACTGGCTTACTCAACTTCCATTGTACCCTCCTTTGAATGTTCCTTCCTGTTCTGTAGAAGATAGAAACCATCTCACAAAAAGCCGCATTGCCCAGACTCCCGTGTAGCAACAATTCTAGATGGGAACTTGTGGCCAATCTAATGCCACTTGCTACCCCTTTTGCTATTTTCTGCTGGCAATATGCTGGAAACATCAGATTTGTTGGTAGCAGGATTTCAGCATCCATTTTCCAGCTGTGGAGTGCTGAGAGAGAGTTGCATTGGCGTCATTGGTGGCCTGCAGCAGACTCCTGGCCTGCAGCCACTGCGTGTGCTCTTAAATTCAGTGGGGTGAGTGGTAGGTGGTGTCTCCCCTGTTAGGAAAGCTCTGCGTGAATCCTTCTGGCAATCATTCCTGGGGGTCCCTCCTGGCACCCTCCTCCAGCCCATGTGGTGGTGCTATAGGCACCCTGTTCCATGGGTTAGATCGTTCTCTGCTTAAGGTGCCAAAGCACAGGCTTCTCTTTCTGCAGTGAGCCCTGACTGATGCGAATGTGTCCATTTCCCTAACCCACCTTGTACTCTCACCCCAACCCCAGAGGCAACGCTCCCTTCCGGTTGCCTCCGGGTCGCTGTAAACCAGGGTCACCTGTGGACTGCAAGTCCCTAAGTGAGAAGTCCAATAAGTGGCACTACTCTCTGGCTCTTCCTTACAATCACATAATCATTTTAGAATAGGAGGCAGGTACAGTGAATGTCAGGAGTCCCAGACCAAAGTTCCAAAGACTTTTGGTCCTGCCCTGCTACCTGCCAGCCGTGTGACTTTGGGCAAGTTGCTTAACCTCTCTGAGCTGTGGCTACTGCTTCTGGAAACACTAATACCTGCCCAACCTACCTCCTCCATTGTTGTAAAGGTTAAATGAAGTTTTGGAGGTGAAGGCACTTTGGGAATTATAAAGCGCTACGCAAATATAAGAGATTACCAAACTCTATCTTGAGATTGAAGGTATCAACTATGACGTCAGTTGGGTTAAGTTTGAAGGGTCTGGGAAAGGGAGAAGCTCATGTCCTTTAAGGAATCAAAGTTGGCCATTCTCTGAAACATGTAGAAAAGGAAATCTTCCTCCAGGGAGATTTTATTCAACACACCTAAAGAAAGTGTTCTTCACAGGTAAGACAGCTGTTGGCTTAAATTAAGAACTTTGTTTCTGAAACCAATATAAATAATTGGCATTTGGTGGCAGGGGGGCAGGCAGTGGAAGAGAATCAATGACCTGAGCCCCTCACTCAGATTGATGTACTGCATATGGCTGGAGGGAGCTCACTGGGGCACTCTGTGGTGACGCCCTGGGTGGCAAGCAAGTGACAGGCCACTGTAGAGAAGCCACGACCTGCCCATCAGTCCTATCATGCAAACAAACACCCTTCAGGAGGCTACTGAATTGCAAAGGGAGAACAGCTTGATGCTAATCAGAGCACAAAGAAGAAAATTAGAGGGTGCAGAAGTTGCTGTTTTCACAGAGAATTCCGTGGAGCTTTGAAAACTGAAAGGCTGTTTGTGTTCATAACCACCAGGCCTGTCTCCTTTGAAGTTCAGGCCCCTCCTTCCCCTGCTCTGGCTGCACTCCTTGGCTCTTGAAAATGGCTATTATAGGTGTGTTCTCTTCCCCAAAGAGTGGGGAATGTCAAATTATGTTATTATGATTATTGCTCCAGAGTGCCTGCCAAGAGCAGCCGTCTCCAATTTGGAGGAGAGTCTACTGCACCTGAAGCTGTCTCTCGTCACAGGTGGGAAGAGATGTTTCACGTGCTAGTGTTCTCCCTCCCCCGTGTGGATCCACCCCCGCCACTGCCCCAACCTTGTTACCCCTAACACATGCTGCCATGCACACCTTCCAGGCAGCATGGAAAATACCAGCGCCATCTTTAAGAAGGCCTCATCTCTACTTGCCAGGAGCCCCGATACCACCCTTGGAGACACAGCTTGTTCCGGATAATCAGAGTCTTCTGGTTCAACAAGCAGAGGAGCTGGGATTTTCCATCCTAAAGAGGATGTGGCTGGGATGGAACTCCATCACCATCCTGAAGCCACAGCAGAGGTGACAGGTAACAGACAGTCCAGAGCTGCTCACTGTCTTCATAGATGACGTGAGGATGGCGGTTCCAGTGCACCGCAACGTGGGACTGAGGTTCAGAGTTGAGGGGAAACAATAGGAAGGGGCTGCTATTGTAAGCACTTTCTTGAGGATTTGTTCAAATAAGAGTTTCTTGGCTTGGAGAACTGAGGGAAAGAGTACAACTAAGAAGTATCAGGTTGGTGCAAAACTAATTGTAGTTTTTGCCATTAAAAGCAATGACAAAAACCGCAGTTTCTTTTGCGCTAACCTAATATTCTGAGGACAGAAGACATTTAATCCCACATGGCTTTTTTTTTTTTTTAAGTAAGAGGTCTCATTTTCTAAATAACTTGAAAATAGAGGCTCTCCAAGGGTTCCATTAAAGGAGAGAATAATCAGAGGTGAAGAAAACCCATTTAGAACTGACTCCTTTTCCCATGGAATGAGCTTTTGGTCCTCACAGACTGGCATCCTGCAGACACGCAGAGAGAATAAATCCTGCCTGTGCATTGTTTGTTTGTTTGTTTGTTTGTTTGTTTGTTTTGAAACAGTCTCACTCTGTGGGCCAGGCTGGAGTGCAGTGGTGGGATCTCGGCTGACTATAACCTCTGCCTCCCAGGTTCAAGCGATTCTTCTGTCTCAGCTTCCTGTAGCTGGGATTACAGGCATGTGCCTGTATCCCAAATTTTCATATTTTTAGTAGATACGGGGTTTCACCATGTTGGCCAGGCTGGTCTCGAACTCCTGACCTCAAGCGATCCACCTGCCTCAGCCTCCCAAAGTGCTGGGTTTATAGGAGTGAGCCACCACGCCCAGCTCCCCCGTGCATTGTGCCTTTGCTCTGCACTAGGCACCCTATCAAAACTTGAAGATCCTGCCCCAACATAAGCCTCATAACGACTGTGAGGCAGGTATTATCTCCACTCTACAGGTAAATAAACTAAGATATAAAGAGAATAGTACTTTCCCACCCAGGATCACATAGCCAGTAAGCAGGGGAGTCAGAATTTGACCCCAAGCTGTGTTCTTAACTCTTCCTGCATGTAAAGCGTTCCTCTCCGTACTAAGTGTGACCTGCAGAAAAGTCACCACATTTCTCTGAGCCTCAGTTTCCTCTCTATAAAATGGAACATCAACACCTACCTCTTCTGTGGTTTCGATATAATATACATGAAGTACCTAGCATAGGTGACTGACAGATAGAAAGTGTTTACTTAATGGCGACTCTTTTTGAGACTGGAAATGACCATGAACCCATTATCTGCCCCCTCCCACCCTCATGGATCTCCTCATCTTCCTTGGTCCTCCGTCTCACTGAAGGCAAGCATGTATTTGGCTCTGTTTACCCCAAGAGTCAGCTGCCAGCCAGCAGCCTGCCTTCTTACATGATCCCATGGCAGCAGGGCCTGAGAGCACTGGTCTTGGGTGGGATGGGGTTATGAGCACACTCAGGGCTCAGGGATAGGGTAGCAGCGCTCCTTGTCAGGGCCTGGGGCCGGGGTTGCATGGGCATCAACAGGACCCAGTGTGAAGTGGAAGGTGCTAGGATCAATACTCTGAAGTCCTCTTTGCAAACAGATACTACTCTGTTACTTGCAGTTTGTCCTCAGTTTATAATCAGGAAAACCTGTTGATTGCAACGACTATAGCTCCAATCCTATATTCATCAGGATGTCATTAGCTCTTTTCTCCTAAAGCCCCAGAGCTGCGTGCCCCTACCCTCCCTGATGCCCTAGAAAGAGGAGTGCTAGCCCAGCGGGACATCCAGTTGCCCACCACCTCCTCCAGCAGCTCCCGGCCCTGTGGGTGGCCACATGCCAGCCAAGCACTGGGCTTATGTGACCTGAAGCTGCTGGATGACTTCTTTCCTTTTAACAAGACTTCTAATTTGATCTCTATTTCAAAAAGGCAAAATGATGAATGAGTTCTCCCTGGAGACATTCCGCCCTGTGATCTGATTTTGCCCAGGGGCTGGATCAGGCTTTCCTGGCTGCTCTGAGGCTCAGCCCTGGCTTAGGTGGGAGGGAGCCTTAGGGTGCTGGCAAAGCAGGGAACAGTGGGCTGCCAATCACCTCTGCCAGCCACCCCAGCCTCAGATCCCCCCAGTTCTGGAGCAGGGCTCCTGTCACCAGGGAGGCTGGAAGGAGCTGCTTTAAATGAGGGTGGCTGCCTGCCAGATGTGCCAATTCAGCTCAGCCTGAGCATCACTCCATTATCACAGCTGTCCCCAACTTTACATTTGGGCTTCTTCAGTAGCTCTGGATGCTCATTTAGATCCCTCAACTCCCCTCGGCCGACAAGCACACACATACACAGCCCCACACACACAAGGAGTTCATCTCGCTGCTGCTGAGAGATGAATTTGCACATTAAAATAGATGAGTTAGTGTGCAAGGTGATTTAGACTAGATCAAAGGCACAGCAAGATAGTGAGAATTATTGGAACAAGAGGCTGAAGAAAAGGCTCCTAGAATGTCCAAGCTGAAAATTATTCAGGGATCCTCTAATCCTTTGCAGTCATCCCTTTGTATCCACCAGGGATTGATACCACAGATACCAAAACCCTGGGATGCTCAGGTCCCTTATATGAAATGCATCGTATTTGCATATAACCTACGTACATCCTCTCATACACTTTAAATCATCTCTAGATTGCTTATAATACCTAATACAATGTGAATGCTATGTAAATAGTGGATATACTGTATTTCTTAAAATTTGTATTTTTGTTTTATTGTTGGAGTGTTATTTTTAGTTTTTTTCCCCAAATATTTTCGCCCTGCAGTTGGTTGAATCTGCAAATTTGGAA